GTGGTGCTATTAGTAAAACAAATCCCTATCTAAAGAAAAGGCTTCATTGTGCAGCTATTTCATTGAACTGGAGCTGTCTTTGTTCACACAGAGAAAAACTTGTAAACACGGATTTAAAATACCTCAGTGGACAATTTAAGAACAAATTGTTTCCAAGCATGGAAGAATGTATTCCCATGTAAAATCGTACTTGTCAGAATTTGACCTGCTTTTATTCTTAAATTCTACGCTAGACAGTTTCTGTTTGTAGTCCTATTAGTAAGAACAGAAAATTCACTTGCTAAAGGTTTCTGTTGGATTGATCCTTGCCCATCTTAAAGTTTAGGACAACTTTTGTACACTCTTGTGTGAGTTGGTGTTTGGCAAATAGTGCAGTTTCTTTAAGGGAAATGAAGGTCAGTTTGTCTGGGGAAAAGTCAAATAGGTTTTTAGGAGCTTTTCAGAAAAAGTGACAGAAGCATGGTAGTGAATAGTTGACTTGAATGAGAATGTAGAAAGTGGAGAAACCCAGAGATCAGGAATGGGGTGGGCAGATGAGTCATGATAATAGGTAGTGATTGAAGGGTCGCAAGAGAATGGCGAGTGTTGAGACAGAAGGGGTTGCAGTATGTGGGGGTTATGTGGAAAAAGCATTGAGGAGCTGGGAAAATTAAGGCGATGTTGCATGCACTAAAAGGTGGCCTAACAGTGATTCTTATAAATAAATTAGAAGTGTTGAAGAAGCCTACATGTAAATCAAATCCGGCATGACTATCAACTGCTTTTAACCTTTCCTGATGTGTGAACAGTTATTGCCTGTTACTGGTTTCTGCATAAAAGGCAGAACCATTTAGAACCTTTAACTTATTTATTTTAAAAATACTGTGTAAGCTTCAGTCAATCTTGCACGCAGTGAAACTGGGTATTCTATTGCATGACATTCATATTGCCCACACTTTTCTCTAATTCATTTAGGTTTTTTTAATGAGTGCTCTGAAATGCTGACTTGTTACGATTGTTCTTAATGGCACCCATTCATGAATGCTTACTTCGTCCAATGCAGCCCCCCTCTCTCTGTAGAACTCTGTTGTGCTATAGTGGAGGTGAAGCTCTGTTTTGAAGTGGGATGAATTGATGTTACATTGCCACAAAACCAGAGGTATAGGGCAGTTTCCCTATAGGGTTGTAGTCTCTGATCTTCAGTGGTAGTGTGGCAGATTTCACCCTTATAATCACCGCTACAGGCCTAAAGTGAAAATGACATATAACTGTGAGGTGTGGAGTCTCGGTTACACATTAAATTTATTGCAGATGAGTGAATTGTGGGTGAACTACTCTTAGCCCCAACCTCTGCTAAACGTTCCAGGCCCGGTGTCTAGGCTCTGACAGACGTACAAGTTAGGAGGCTGAGTTGCATTGTGCGGCTGTTGTATCTTGGGTGCCAACGAGTAAGATTTTCCTGCCTTTCCTCTGATCCTCGAAGGAGGGGAAAAATTTGTTCAAACTGTCAACATGGCTCAGAGAGCTTACAAGGCCACAGACATGGCACTTCATTTATGAGGGCATGGCATTTATTTTTGCTCCCTCTGATGAGCCCATGTTTAAATGTTATATATCTTGGTATGGAGAAACTTTCATTTTGAGAGTGGTTCCAAACCAGTTGGCATGGGGCACACATTCTGGTGTTGGAGGAAACAAAATGTAGCAGTGTATCACCACCACTCCTAAGCCAGGGGTCGCCAGTGTTGTGCTTGCAGGCATATATGTGCATGTAAGTCTCTGGTACCCACAGGGTTTCCCAGTGCCCCCACCCCCCAATTGTGCTGCAACATGAATCCGTGATTGCAGTAGGCAAAACTGGAACAATGCTGCTGACTGGTTATCTGAGAACGCCCTGGAGTTGGTAAAATGAAAACTCTTTTTTTTTGTTGATACAATTTTTATTAAATTTTTTGTTTTACAATTTCAGATAAACATTTTGCATCCTTAAGATATCAATGACTTCCCTTCTTCTCTTTCCATGGTTCATTTTGCATATCTTTTATCCCTGAATATTTTACAAAAAAACTATACCAATCAGTTTTCCATTATTACATCCATCAAAACTTATTTACACTGTTGAATTTATCCTAATGCTGCCAGCGTTTTCAGCTGTACACAATTATTTTCCATATACTGTATTCAATAAACATTTTCCAATCTTCTTTAAACATATGTTCTTCTTGTTCTCTTATTCTATATGTTAAGTCTGCAAGTTGTGTATATTCTGTCAACTTAAGTTGCCAACCTTTTTTGGTTGGGACCTTGCTCATTTTCCACTTGGGGGCTAACAAAACATGGGCCACAGTTATTGCATACATAAATCACCTTTTCTGACACCTGGGAATTTCAGTCTGAGTTATCCCCAACAGAAAGGACTCTGGGTTTTTTTTTGGGGGGGGGAAAGTAATTTCAAACATTTTTTCCAATTCATTATGAATCATTTCCCCATGCTCTTTTACCCTTTTACATGTCCAAGCAAAGTGAACACTATTTGTTGCTTTCGTCACCTTGTTATAGGCATGACCATGTGCTTGTAAGTGCTTGGTCATCTTTGCAATAAAACTTGTTCCATGGTGCTTTATAGCTTCCGGCTTCTGTGGGAACAAGTTGCTTTGCAGCACTGGAGAGGACATGTAGCAGGAGTGATTGCATCAATAGCCCCCCACATTTCACTGTTCCAAAATGAGGCTAGGGCCATGACAAAATCCTAAGCCTTGTCAACCATAAAATATCCTAGCGCATTAAAGGATCTGTTGATAAGCAATAGCAAAATTTTAGAGAGATGGGATTGCAATTACTTGCCTCACTTCGACAAAGTTAAAGGGTTAAAGCAGGGGCATTAAGGAAAATGGGCTGTAGCCCCTCAAAAAAAATGCCTGTTATTAAGATGGTTGCAGAATACAGTTTCAGTTGCATCTGATGAACTTGGTGCTTTAGAAACAGATAACCAGATGGTCAGCTTTTCTGTTTTCATCCAAATGGACTCTGACTGTTTTCACGCTGAATCATATTTCTGCTGTTGCCAAAACTGATTTCACTGGTTACTTTAAAAAGCGAATTACTAGCTTTGAGTTGAAAGATGACTACACGTTTGGCTTGCCGTTGACTCTAGAAATGCTGCTCTTGCTAAAAATGTTGGAGTGCTGATTTATTGACTGCATCCACTTGGCACTGGTTGGAATAATAGATACGGGAAGGGAGGATGTAACCTTTGCAAGTTTTGAAGATTATGTCTTTCTTAGCTGGTGTTCCCTTAAGTTGTAAGTTTTGAATAGCTCACAGCTTCTTCTCCCTCATATTTTCTTTTCTGTTACTTGAAGCAGAAATAACCATGTCATGAGGCACATGGCTAGTCATGAGATAAATAGTACAAAGAGGAGGATGATCTCCTGCCAGCTATATAGTGGAATATGTGATACTTCAGATGCTCTTGGACTTCAGCTCTTAGCAGCCTCAGCCCCGTGAACTCTACACTTTGTATGTTTTATTCAGTCTTTGAATTGTTGCTTGATTTGAATACAGGACATTGGGGAGATTTAGTTAGATGCAGCAAACTGGCTATCCGTTAAGTATTTCACTTGGTACAGGGTGGCCTGGCATAATGCTAAGCATAATGCTACATAATACGCTACATGGTACATAATGCTAAGCCGTGGCTTAGACTACAAACAAGCAAACATTGGCATTTCCAGGCGGAAGATCACGGCCACTGTACTCATCTCGTTCCCTGGTTGCTGTGCTATGTGGCATTAAGACATGGTTTGACTTCACATCTGATCCTGGACTCCTGCTTTTAGCTTATCTGGGGAAAAACCAATCACTAATCAGGGTTTGCATGTAACAAAAAGCCAAACCACGCAGCAGCATAACCAAGGAAAGGCACTCAAGCAGCCACAATCTTCCCTCCAGGAACCTGGTTATTTGCTTGTTTGCACGAAGCCTGGTTTGGCTTCCCATATGTACAAGTGAAGCCAGTATCTTGTGAATATTGTATAGAAAATGCTGATTAGGTATTCAGGAAGAAACCGCTTTTGAGTTCACTTGCGTTAGGAAGGGTAAGAGTGGTAAATCAATGGGTTTTCCCGCCCCTTTTCCTGTATTTTTATATTTGCAGTGGTCATGGTAATCTATGTTAGACTAAAACCAGGGTGCAGTATTTCATTCATATTGGTCAATTTTGGTATAAAATAATGTGTCCAAAAAAGGGCACAAGAAATATCTCCAGACACTTGGGCACCTAAAAATCTGTTGTGGGCAGGATATCCGCTATAGTGCACCACAACAATTACCTAAATATACTTCAAAGGTTGAATTATTGAATTTGGAGAGAGTGATAGGTGGGTGCACAGATTACACTTACATGTACACCTGTCCTCATTGGCTGAGAAGTTTGTGTTTATAATCTCACCAAACTAGGCAACTTTTTTCTCTTTGTTGTTGTTGTTGTTGTTGTTTGTTGTAATAATAATCTATATATTGCCCTATACCCAGAGATCTCAGGGCGGTTCACAGAACAAGATCAACATAAAACACCACAATCTATATAATCAGTGCTTTTTCCCCCTAAAAAAATGTTTAGGGGTACTCTCATTTTCCTACTCATGTTGAAATACTGCCCCTCAATGAGGCCAAACTTTGATTCACAAAATGTGTAGTGGTATGCGTACCCCTGTATATAATCCCTGTATATAAAAAAGCACTGTATATAATCAAAATAAAAACAACCCAATAACACCCCCCCCAATTTACATTTATATGTAAATACTGCTCTCTCCAAGGTCTCTGGGTGGTTTTTCCATGTCATTAATCTGTACAATGAACAGGAAGGGGGGTGGAAGAGGAGCTGCCAGACATGAATGTACTCTGCGCATTGGCCCAAGGTGTGGGAGAATGTCACCAAAGAGAGAATGTCACCTGTTACCTCAAAGTAGTTCATATGAAAATGTTGCATTTCTGATTATTTTGCTTTTCTCTTTCAGTCAACAGATAAGCAACGGGCCCTAGAAGAAACCAAAGCATATACAACACAGTCTTTAGCTAGTGTAGCCTATTTGATCAACACCTTGGCCAACAATGTTCTACAGATGCTGGATATCCAGGCATCCCAGCTTAGGCGTATGGAATCTTCAATCAACCACATTTCGCAAGTGAGAAAACTTGTTCTTTATGTTTGCTTAGTTTGTATCAAGCACCTAGTATGGTACAGTGGATAGGATGGGACCCAGATCATAGGGGGGGGGGATCCGAATTCAGTCCACAAAATGCATTTGATGGCCTTGGACAAATCAGCATCTTCACAAGGTGGTTGTGAGGATGAAATTGTACAACCTTCATGTAGTGGAAGGTTAGGAGACTCATAGAGATGTTGCCACAGATACAACTTAAAAAGAATTTGGCTTATCAGTATGATCCGGAAAAACTACCTTATTGCAATTTGCAGTAGGAGGTCAAACTTTCTTAAAAAGTAAGATGACTTGTTTTCTTTTTGCCTTCAAATGGTGTTTATAATGAAGACATTTTGGGGAATAATTCTAGTAGATTGGGAAAAATCCAGGTGGCGTTCATTTCTCCCCTTTTCTCCTGTTACCTTGACTTTTGTTAGTTTAAAATCTTGATCGTCTTTCTAAAATTTGTAATTTTGATATGCATTATTAATGCAGGCAAGGGTAGTATGGAGAATGAAATGTCTTTCTGCTAGGAAATCGATTACTCCTTTTTAAATATGATAAATGTTTGTCCTGGAGCTTAAAAAAAACAACAACAACTTCATTGTGAAGTCTCAATTCCACTTGCTTAACACTGAATAGGAAAATTTCTTCATAGCCTGCTTTGATTGGAGCAGTCCTTGCCGTTCTCTATTCTACAGTCTCTGTTATAAAACAGTATATGCATAATGGGACATGACTCATGAAGGTTCCTAGCTGGGCTACATGAAGATTTCCAGTGTAACATTAATATACACTGATTATTATGAGTTAGTGAAGGTTAAAAGATTTAAATGTAATTTGTGATTGTGCACTGTAGGTCCCAGTTTTCGGAATGAGTGTTTTGTTTTTGTTTTCTGGATACCCCTACTCTCTGAAAAAAAATAATTAAAACAATTCTGGCCAGCTAAAAACTATTAACTCATTCATGCAAAATGTTGTAAATACTGAAGTGGTATGATTTTAGTAGAGGAGAGTTATGTTTATAAAATTTGTTAGAACGTCCAGTGTATTAATAGTTTAAAGCAAGCTAATAGAGCTTTAATGATATTTGAAAAGCAGATTTTGAAAATTGAAACATTAAAAAATATTTTTGATAGCACTTGTGTAGAGAATAATTTCTCTGCCTTGGTGGTTTTTTAACGAGCTTTTAAAAGACTCTTATGATAAGTTCATCTAAATAGAAGTCTGTACATGACTGGATAAAGGCTGTATTGTTTTTCTTTTTTTGCTCAGTTAATAGATGTATAGCAATTGCATAGTAGCACTTTATTTTTCTTCACTTTCTAATCTGACTTGCCAGTTTCCTAAATGATCAATTGTGCCAGTGGCTTTCCCATGCAGTATCGTTCTCCACGTTCAAGTATAATTTGACCTCCTAGCGAAAGTTGATCTATTGGATCCTGCAAGGAAGCAAAAACTTTTCAAGGGAGATCCTGGTGGTTAAGCCCCATTCATGTTTTTTGTATGATGCCGTGTTGCAGAATCAGGTCAGGGGATGTCATCAGGTGAGACCCTCGTCTCCATCTCCCACAAGGCAACCTGTTGCAAAGCAAAGCTGTAATTGTTTGCTTGCTCAGCAGAGTCTTCCCTAGTAATGTTTGGAATGGCCTTTGTTGGTAGCAGCATACTGTATTTTTCGCTCCATAGGGTGCACCGGACCATAAGGCGCAACTAGTTTTTAGGGAGGGGGGAATCAAGAAAAAAAAACCTTATTCCCCCCCCCCAGCCCCAAAGAGCAGAGGACAGGCTTCTGGAGCTGTCGGGGAAGCCCGGGTTCGCTGCCTTGGCTTTGTTTTTAGCCGCGGGGCTGGGGCCGGGGGAAGCCCGAGCTTCCCCAGCCCCCAGAACAGGTCCGGGAGCGGCGTCAAGGTTGCATGCAGCCTTGCCTCCACTCCCGGAGCTTGCGGGGCTGGGAGCGGGGGAAGCCCGGGTTTCCCAGCCCCAGGGACCACACATTCGCTCCATAAGACGCACAGACATTTCCCCTTAGTTTTTAAGAGGAAAAACATGCGTCTTATGGAGCAAAAAATACGGTAACTGTAACCATTTGTGTAACATAAGAGGAGATAGCTTTACGGAAGGAATCTCCTGGGATCCTAGCCTGGTGCTGCTGATCTACCACCTCTTCCTGTACAAACATTGAGGCATGAGCAGTATGTGTGGTTCATGTTTCTGGAAATGACATCTCTGCCAGGACATCTGCTCAAGTTACTTTTTCTAACAAGCATGGTAATGACCACAACAATATATGCCATCTATCAGCCGTCAGAAGCATCAGAGGCTAGCTTTTAAGTCTTGCTATGTTTACTTACTTACCGTATTTTTCCGTGTATAAGATGCCCCCATGTATAAGACGCCCCCTATTTTGGGGGACTCCAAATTAAGAAAAACACCCCTCAGCACTACCCATGTATAAGACGAGCCCCAATTTTAAACCTAATTTTTTGTTTAAAAAACCTAGTCTTATACTGTACACGGAAAAATATGGTATATAGCATTAATAGGATGCTTTTATGGTAACATTCCTACTTAATTCAGGCATTTTAGATTCCCTCATCCCATTTAGGCATATATGAAAATACTGTACAGTATATCTGTATAAACAAAAAATTCTGATATTAATTGAGAATAAATATAAATTATATTGGAACTTAGGGGAAAATTAGAGGTATAGTAATGACACCGACTAGCTTAATGTGTCTTAAATAAATTCATTTTATGAGTCATTAATCTCTAATATTTTAATTCTTTTATGCTCGCAGACAGTTGACATACATAAAGAAAAAGTGGCCAGAAGAGAAATTGGCATCTTGACCACAAATAAAAACACTTCAAGAACTCACAAAATCATTGCACCAGCCAACCTGGAGAGACCAGTTCGCTATATTAGAAAACCTATTGATTATACAATCCTAGATGACATTGGACATGGGGTGAAGGTAAGTGGTAATGTGGAATAATTCTGATTTATGAGTCTCCCTGTATGTTTTCAGAATGCAAAGATTTGTATGCAGGACTCCTTCCCTCTCCCAAACGGCAGCATGGTCCTTTTTACTGAACTCCTATTATTCCTTCTGTATCTCAGTCTTTAAAAAAACCAAAAACCCAGACTCCCTGCTTTTCTGGCTACTTGTGATATCTGTATTTTGAGAAATGGGTAGAAGGCTTTCAACATGGGAAAGAAAGCATTTGGTGCCATTCCCTTCCTTTGGATTCGGTTGTCAAACAGTACCTTTGTGACAACAGGGTATGTCCCTCTCCCTTTTCTGTTTGCATGTCCCAGATGTTGTCATGACCCAGATAGAATGCCACCATGTGTGTGCCATTGGCCCCCAAGATCAAAGATTTGCATGATATGCAAAAGCTAGGGACTAGCTTCCTGTTTTCTGTACCGGGAATTTTTAAATTACGATAATAAATAAAAATAATAGTTAGGCTTCAGTCTGCATGTAGTTCTAACAGCCCTTGTAGCTGAGTCTAACAATGCTAAATTGTGAATCAAGTTACATGTGCAGTTTGTCTGCTTGTTTTGTGCAGATACACATCTGATTGCATGTTCAAATTTTGTTCAGATTCTTGCATGTCTTTTCCTAAAGTACCCTTTCCCTGTGATATTTTTGCAATTCGTTAGGCATATCTCAAGAGTAATGTGAATAAGAATGATTAGCAAGGCTTACAGCCATTCAGTCAGAACATTGCAGCAAGATAATGGCATAGTGGCATGCCGTTTTATTTATTTCCTTGGGAATTATTTGAGCTTGCAGAGAAATAAATTTGTAGTGCAACCCTAACCATACCTACTCAGAAGTAAGTCCTATTGAATTCCATGGGGCTTACCCCCAGGTAAGTGGGGTTAGGAGTGCAGCCTTAGTTACTCATTTGATGGCTACTGAACTACAGGCATTACATGCCTGTTTACATTTCAAAAAAGTGGCGATAAAACTCATCAGTGAAGCCATAATGAATGTCTAAGTACACAAATATATTCCAACATTCTTCGCTTGGAGGCAAGTGTCACTTTAATTAGTTAACTTCACTGAAAATGCACAATTTTTGAACAAGTACTAGTCTTAAATATTGATGAATTTGAAACCTATTCTATAGTGCCTTTTAAAATGCATGTCTATAAGCTTTTCAGATTCTTACAAAGCTGAAATTGCTGTACCAGTTGCACTAATGTTTACCCTTGGAGTGCAGAAAATGTAGTGTCTCTTTGATTTATGGAGTTACATTCTCTTTTCAGCAGTGTAAATATCAAGGAGACAAGTAGTGCATGCACACTGTATTATCTGAAAGGGAAATTCTGAATAAAAAACTTTTTGAAGAAGAAAGAAAAATGCATAAACAGTATTTACAGTGTTATACTATCTTTAATCATTAAACCTTTAAAAATGTGGTAATCAGTTGTAGAGCTCTTTAAGTAGCCAAATAAAACCTAATGCTGATATTTAGAGATTTTAGTTCAATTCCACTCTGAATTAGCTGCTCTGCATATATATATATTTTGTAAAAACATAACATTAAAAAACCCTTGGTTATTACAATTATAATACAATTAAATTATTTGTAATCACTTCATGAACAATCTGGTTTTAAAGGTTATTTTGAAAAAAAAGTTCTGCAGAGCAATGATATAAACCATGTCTATGAAAATCTTTTACAAAAGTTTCTTTTTGTTAGCTACATCTCACAAGTAGAGTGCATAAACTGGACCCATGACTGACTGGCTTATCAAGCAAAATTGATGAGGGAAAAAAAAGTTTTGGATTTTAATTTAATAAATCAAAAATAGTAATGTGTATATTTGATCAAGTAGTGTATGCAGTTCCATGAAACCTCCTTTAATGATGTTAGGTTAAACAGCAGAAGGCTTGTGAGAACATCTATATTGGGTAAAGTTTGGTCACACTCATTGTCTCTGATATTGAATGGGAGTTGTGAAATATGCCACACATATAATTAAAAAACCCGAAAATTATTATTTCTCAATTGGTTGAAATTGTACATGCAGTAGTAAGATTTGCTTCATATTACTCTAAATAATTTTTTTTAACTTATTCCATGTAGAAATAAGATGTTGGTTGCCGGAGGTTGTTTCATGGGCGGGTTAATAGTGGCTCTCTAGCTGTCTCTCATGAAATAGTGTTTGAAACATTGAGTGCTGACCTTGGAGTTAATAGTGTCTTAAGATGGTTCTAATAGTGGCTTTATAAATTTCATCTCGAAAACCATTACATATTCTGCTTTAATCACTCTTTCTATGATCTACTGATACATTATTTTGTTGATGCTAAATGCTTAACTTCTTTCTTTTTCCCCCTTCTCTCTTCATATCCTGAAGTTTCAACTAACCTTTCAATGCTTTTCTTCCTTACCTCTTTTATTTGCTTCATTTATGCATTAAGTGGTTGCTTAGATTTAAGGTAAGAAACGACAGGGCTGAATTTCATTCTTATTCTTCAGACTATTACATTCGGGGAGAGTGATAATTTCTGGTGGGTGGGGTGGGAGGGAATACCGCCTTGAACACTATTCTTTGGTCTTAAAACATTTTTTAAAGCATAACAAAATGATGACCATAAGGATCTGGATAATGGATGATTTTCATGATAAAAAAAGATATATATTTGTGACCTCTGATCTCCCCCTTTTTATCCTCTATATGATGTGATTTGATTACTTTTATGAATAGTGCTTGAATTTGCAAGCTTGCCTGTCTTGAAAAATCAAAAGTACAGTGGTACCTCGCAAGACGAATGCCTCGCAAGACAGAAAACTCGCAAGACGAAAGGGTTTTCCGTTTTTGAGTTGCTTCGCAAGACGATTTTCCCTATGGGCTTGCTTCGCAAGACGGAAACATGTTGCAAGTTTGTTTCCTTTTTCTTAACACCGTTAATACAGTTGCGACTTGACTTCGAGGAGCAACTCATAGCACGCGGTGTGCGTCTCCGTAGGGGCAAGAACGCGTGAAGGCGGGTTCTGAGGAAGAGGGAGCTTTGTTTCGTCGAAAAATAGCAAGGCGCGCACACTTCCCTCCCCACAACTCCCAGTTAGGGAGGCCAGGCTCCGGGGCTCTCCGGACGGGGCTCCTTCCGCCCTCCGCGCTCGCCCTGCGAGGGGCGCCCCCTACCTGCATCTCCGCGCTTTCCAACCCGCGACGTCGACGGCTGCGGCAAGTTTGCCTCTCAGTGTGTGTGTGCGCGAGTGTGTGTTCTCCTCGCCCCGTTCCGCTCGCACGCTTTTGGCTGGCTGGCCGGCTGCAGCAGCAACAGGGGCAATAGGCATCCACCGTCGCTGACGCTCCCTCCCTCCCTCCTGCCCGCGGCGGGCGGCTGGCTGGCTGGGGCTGGATGCGCCCCTCTCCGCTCGCGCGCGGGCGGCTGGCTGGCTGGGGCTGGATGCGCCCCTCTCCGCTCGCGCGCTTCTGGCTGGCTGGCCGGCTGCAGCAGCAACAGGGGCAATAGGCATCCACCGTCGCTGACGCGGCTGGCTGGCTGGGGCTGGATGCGCCCCTCTCCGCTCGCGCGCGGGCGGCTGGCTGGCCGGCTGCAGCAGCAACAGGGGCAATAGGCATCCATCGTCGCTGACGCTCCCTCCCTTCCTGCTGCCCGCGATGGGCAGACAACTTTTAGGCCGGTAGGAGTTTTGACTACCGCGGCGACAGCAGCAGCAGCAGCAAGACGGCGCCGACTGTAGTGCAAAGGGTCAGAGCAAGGCGAGCCGAACCGATCCCGGGGGCTCAGGCAGCAACCTCTGCCCCGCCTCGCCCCACGCCCGCCTCTCCCTCCCTTCCAAGCACCCCCCTTTTTTGAGGTTTTTGAAGACTTAGGTGATTTTTGAAGCTTTTCCAAAACTTTCCCGACACCGTGCTTCGCAAGACAAAAAAAACCCGCAAGACGAAAAAAACCGCGGAACAAATTAATTTCGTCTTGCGAGGCACCACTGTAATGTGGGGCATGATTTTTTTTATGAAAAAGTGATGTTTACCACTTAGCCATTTACAGCCCACTTCTGGGACTGCCAATCCTGCTAGGAAATACGTATAGTATTTACGTTAGACTGTTATTGCAAGTCAGTACACTGGCACAAATATAGTGGTGCCTCGCAAGACGAAATTAATCCGTTCCGCGAGTCTCTTCGTCTTGCGGTTTTTTCGTCTTGCGAAGCACGGCTATTAGCGGTTTAGCGGCTATTAACGGCTTAGCAGCTATTAGCGGCTTAGCGGCTATTAACGGCTTAGCGGCTTTAAGAAAAAGGAAACAAACTCGCAAGAACTCGCAAGACGTTTTGTCTTGCGAAGCAAGCCCATAGGGAAATTCGTCTTGCAGAACGACTCAAAAAACGGAAAACCCTTTCGTCTAGCGAGTTTTTCGTCTTGCGAGGCATTCGTCTTGCGGGGCACCACTGTAGCTATGCTCAAATAAAAAACGTAAACTATATTGTGAGACTGCCCTTATTTACATGGATCCCCCCACACTTTGTAGCTTTGAACAGTATTAGGAAGAGCTTAACATTTTTCTCAGTGTTGTCATGCTTGAATACATTCATTCATGTCATGGTGTTTGCAATATAGAAAAAGATGGGCATGCCTAAATTCCATTGGAAATCAATCTGATTGAAATGCTTGATGGTATTTAATCTGTGATCTGACTCTTTTAGAATTGCATCCAAAGACATTTTAAAAATTCAGTTACTTTTAAGTGTGCTCAAGGGTTTCCAGCATCCAGTGGGTTTCTGGTTTTTTATTGGAACAACATATTCTTTCCAGTCCTTGACATGTCAGGAATTAGTTGTTGTGCAACCTATCTGGCTTGCCAGCTTGGAAAAGCACATTGCAGATCCCCCTGAGCACATGGAGCTAATTGTGTAGCTCCCATTGGAAAAGCAGCGGAAGATTTTGAAATCTGGTTGAAACTAATTAGAAATGTAAAGATCAGGTAATTGATTGTTCACTGTGTTTAATTATACTAATAATTAAAATGTAATTTAACATAAGGCAACCTTCTTCAAGTTTGGAAATGTGGAGCATGCTGTCCGGTGTCATGAGAAACAACTGTGATGGGGAAGAACTAAGCCAAACTCGGGTTTAGGAAATGAAATTACTCCTAACTTGCTCTGCATACTCAAATTATTTCCAGCAGCTTCATATCTTAGCTTAGATGAGGGATTCTTTAAGGATAGGGAAAAATAGCTTCTCATTAAAAATGGATCAACATTGCACAATTCCTCCATCTTAAATATTTCTGCATATGTGTTTACTGCTTTCCAACATCAGTTTAGGAGTTTGAGCGTAGGTGCTCAGTTGGAACTGAAGTAACAAGCAAGCAGCATTTCTTACCCCTTTTTCTGAGGATAGCATTTCATCACTGGCATTCATAGTCATTCTAAGAATGCTATGAAGAATAATTCTCCCCTTCGTTTTGTTAAGAGCTGAATTACCATAGAATCATACAGTTGGAAGGGACCACTAGGGTAATATAATCCAGCCTCCTACAGCGCAGAAATCTTTTGCCCAACATGGGGCTGAAACCCATTGAGACTAAGAGTCTGAGCTAGACTGAGTGGAATTATCCATATGAAATTGCTGTTGAAGTCCAGCTTGGAACATGTGTCACCAACACCCATTCTTATTAATTAACCAACCCATAATCTAGCCAGTTTATCTATACTTGGAATCTGCCATCTTCTGTCAGTGATTGGCAGGTATCTGCAGCTAGTTTAAAAAGCAGCCAACACTAGAATCGTTAATGGATCCCTTATGCCTGGCTCCTAGATGCCTACTTAATATGTTGTCTTTCATTACTTTAAGAATATAATCAGATTTCAGGAAGAGCAACCTATCAGTCTTCAGAAGGTAGTTAAGAAGCCGTTTAATGGTCTATGGAGGATACTTTTAAGAATGTGTTATAGCTAACTGTTGTCATTTAGGAAAGATGCCAGTCTTACTTAGGAGTAAGTACTATTGAATTCAGTGGGACTTGCCACTTGCGTCTAGCATTCTAGTTAACTGAACATAGCTAGAGACAGCATGGTATAGAGTTCTGAACTTGGATCCTAGACATCCACATTCAAATCTTCACTCAGACACAAAGCTAATTCGGTGTCCTTGGGCTTGTGTCAAACTCTTTCACCTTCATCTGCTTTGCACAGGGTTCTTGTGAGTATAATATGGGGAAATTTCTGTGTATGCTGCCCTGAGCTCCTTGAATGGGCGGCATACAAATGTGAGGCAATGATTGAAGGTGATAAAAAAATATATCTGATGTAACTGACCATGGTAAGGAGCTCTCAGCCCCCAAAGCAGATATGTCACTCTCACCTTAGTTTTCCAAGTGTCTTTGAGCTGAAAATGGTGAATCCGTTTGTGTGCCCATGCCCTTAACTGGTACAAATTTTGACAAAAGGGGGTGCAATGCAGAAAGGGACTTCCCCTTGATATATTTATTTAATTCCATTTATGGACCAATTATGGACCATTTATGGACACGGGTGGCGCTGTGGGTTAAACCACAGAGCCTAGGGCTTGCTGATCAGAAGGTCGGTGGTTCGAATCCTCGCGACGGGGTGAGCTCCCGTTGCTCAGTCCCTGCTCCTGCCAACTTAGCAGTTCGAAAGCACGTCAAAGTGCAGGTAGATAAATAGGTACCACTCTGGCAGGAAGGTAAATGGCGTTTCCGTGCGCTGCTCTGGTTCGCCAGAAGCGGCTTAGTCATGCTGGCCACATGACCCAGAAGCTGTATGCCGGCTCCCTTGGCCTATAAAGAGATGAGCGCTGCAACCCCAGAGTCGGTCACGACTGGACCTAATGGTCAGGGGTCCCTTTACCTTTACCTTTATGGACCAATAAAAACATTCCACTACTAGGCTGACTGCAGAGGCGTACACATTCTGCATTTCCAGTGTTGAGCCTCCTCAAATCCTCAAAATCCAAGTCTTCTATCATATTGGCCCGGTGGCCAATATGATGCCCTGCAGATGTTCTGAACTACAACTCCCATCACCCTGCCCATGCCAGCTGGGGGTTGGAATCACAACCCCTGAGGAGTAGCTTCTCAGATGTAGCCGGTTTTTGTGTGCACTGGAGCACATATGTACTGTTTGTCAGGTGTTGCAATTGAACCAACCCCGTGCGCAGATCCTTTGTTCCCTTTGCCGGGTTCTTGGCTTTGGGTGAAGTAGGAAAGCCTCAGCAGTTGCACAGACTTTTCCCCCTACTCCTCGTGTTTGGCCACCTCATTGACTTAGGTGAGAGAAGAGGGGCTGCTGTGGGGAAAGGAACCCTTTCCCTCTGTCCCGGACCCTGGAAGCAGCAGGGTCCATTGGAAATGTTCCTCCCGCACCCCCACTGTTTACACTAATGCAAAACACCAACCTAAAATCTGCAGGGTATGCTTGAAGGCCACTTTGATACCTATTGCTGAAGAATTTGTATTTGCTGCTGCCTGTGCCACACACACATTTAGTGAGGAAATGCTGTTTTCATTGTTTCAGCAGTGCTTTCCTCCTTAATAATTCTGCATGACATGCGAGCAATATTAGATTATTGCGAGCGAGCTCCTAAAGCAGTTGGGTGAAGGAGAGATGATGTTTTGAATTTTAATCAAGGGAAATATAAAAAAAAGTGTAATTGACAAAGACTGTTCTCTGTTTGTTGAAGCTTCACAGTTCATTCTGAAGATAAATTAAGAACCTCTTCTTTCTCTCCCCTGCTTTCCAGTTATTGAGTTCAGGAAAATACATATATATTTGGGATTCTTTAATCTTTTCATTTGCACAGACTCCCTCCCCCCTTTTTACCCCTAGCTTCTTGCCAATCTGGATACTGTTAAATCAAAGCCGTGTAATGAAAATGGCAAACATCTTAGTCATTTCTGGCTTCTAAAATAGCCATGTAAAATCAGAGTTGCTTCTCTTTTAATGTCAGGCATATGTGCCACAATCCTGGAACCTTTTCAGCAATGCTAAGGGTTTGATCGTCCCCACAGAAACTTTTGCTTTCATTTCTTAGAAGTCTAAAATATATTGTCATTTAACAAGCTGCTTTTGAAAAATCCTTGTGTCAAAATCAGTTTGTGTGTTGTGGAGCTGTTACGCTGTAAAACCCAAGCTCCAAACACAACAGGGCTTATTGTTCCCTAGATTGTGACTACGGAAATGAAATTGAATATGGTGGGCTTCCTTCCTTCGCACTTGCATCCTAAAATGACACACACGTGATACTGCTTACATTTTGTAATCTATATTAGCTTTTTTAAGGCTTCTTAACTTGTTGCGGTGATCACATTCATGCTAAAAGTGCCCACATGAGTTTTTCCCCTTTATGTGTACATGCGGATGATCTGTGGCCAATCATGGCTCCTGTTGTAGCAGAGTGACTATATCTGCTTCAAAGACAATGGCATACTTTGACTGTGTGAAGTAGCTCTCAACCTATTTTAAGATAAATTCTTGTTCTAAATGCTGTGATTTTTGTGTGGACACCCCACAAGGTCACAGAAATTTTCATTGCACCTCTTGCGGAGGACAAAAGCCCAGTGATTTTGAGAGGTTGAGTCACACGCAATCCTAAAAAATAATAATCATGGAGTTTACCATATTTTTCTTTGTATATGACTAGGTCCGCCCCTCCCCATGTCAAAATTCAGTGGGCGTCTTATACATGGATAGTGCAGAGGGTGGACTGGCGATTGGTTGTTGCCTCCCAAAATAGGGGTCGTCTTATACACGGGGGCATCTTATAGATGGAAAAATATGATATTTTTTTAAAAAGCATTTTACTAGCTTGCCTTTTAGTGTGTATCGAACCTGGATAAATATTTCCATGCCTAGTAGTAAATCTTGGATATTGTATGTAGAAAATGCAGTGTAGTGATCTCGAAAATTTATGCAGAAGAAAAAGTGAAGGCATGTTATTTAGCTGCATTTATACAACCATCCTGTAACAATCATATGGGCCAGTTATTGGGGACGGACAGACAACTTTTGGATCCAGCTTTGAAATTTGAAAACTTAGTTTTCCCAGATTCAGAGATCTTTCAAGGTTGAGGTGTCTTTTCCATAATGCTCTACCTCATGCTCCACGATGTGGTGGGCGATCCTGTCTTGTAAAAGTGTTGCTTTTTAAAATATGAAATTTTAGATTCATAGTCCAGGGATAAGGTAGCTTTCCTAGCAGCGCGCGTGCATACACACACGCACACGCAAGCTCTTTCCGTACACAAACACAAGTATTAGTGTCCCAATGTTTGTGATTTATGTGTAAACAAGCAGTGAATTTTTTTCTTTTTTTAAAAAATCAACCCACTGTGATGCTGATGAACACAAAACATTAAATTATTCATACCTTGCATTTGCAGCATCGTAAATGTAATTTGTCATCAGCATCTCATGAAACAGATCAATAAAATGGCTACCAATCCTTAAAAAATGAGGTGATCTATGACAGAAATAACTCTTGGTGATATAGTCTTTCTTTTATACACAAAATGTCACTTCTTCTTTTTTTTTAAAAAAAGGCCATATTTTATTAGGGTGGTGTTGCAAGTGAAGCTTCATTTCATATATGAAGTTGATTTATGAAAGTGCTTAGTGCAGATAGAAAGTGTCCAAATAGATACTTTGGGGTAAAAAATTCTTTTGGGAAAGGCTGCAGTGTTTGGACTATAAAGCAGAAAGACCAGGCTTCCTCAACCTTGGCCCTCCAGATGTTTTTGGCCTACAACTCCCATGATCCCTAGCTAGCAGGACCAGTGGTCAGGGATGCTGGGAATTGTAGTCTCAAAACACCTGGAGGGCCGAGGTTGAGGAAGCCTGTGAAAGACTGTATGGGACCAGCACAAGCGCCCTTGAATGACAAGGACGAAGGGTGCAGAAGCAGCAATATTCCTACTGCTACACTGGCTTCTGTTACTTCAGAGTAGACTCTTTTCAGCAGAATGAGATATTCACCAATACTTGGCCAGGTCATTGCATCCCTCTTGGGAAGTGAGGATACCAGATTATTTCTTAAATTGAGCTTTTAAGATTCCCCCTTTGTGCTTTTGTAATACGTGGTGTAAGAGTTTCACGTTACGTATAACTCATTCCCTGTCCTAGGCACATCAGCTTCATAGACACTGCAGGTTGGTGGCAGGCAACCTTTTGCCTACCCCCACAACCACCCCGAAGTTGCTGGGCCCAAACTCCCATCAGCCCTAGCTAGCACGCTCTAGTTGGTCAGGTGAGAGGAGAGTTGGAATCAAATGACACCTGCAGGGCTGCAGGTTCCCCACCACTCAGTCAAACAAGAAAGAAGTGGTTTCCTGAAATATATACAGTGGTACCTCGGGTTACATACACTTCAGGTTACATACGCTTCAGGTTACAGACTCCGCTAACCAAGAAATAGTGCTTCAGGTTAAGAACTTTGCTTCAGGATGAGAACAGAAATCGTGCTCCGGCGGTATGGCAGCAGCAGGAGGCCCCATTAGCTAAAGTGGTGCTTCAGGTTAAGAACAGTTTCAGGTTAAGTACGGACCTCCGGAACGAATTAAGTACTTAACCTGAGGTACCACTGTATTAAGTGCTTTTGAGAGACACTTCATGTGTTGTGCTGTGGCAGAGTTGCATTTGCTACCGCTAGAATGTGTAGCTGAGGTTCCATAGCCAAACCCCTAGGCATGTCCCCTGGACGCATGAAATGCAAATGTATTTTTAAACTTTATGTATTATATAGTTCCTAGGGGACGCGGGTGGCGCTGTGGGTAAAAGCCTCAGCGCCTAGGGCTTGCCGATCGAAAGGTCGGCGGTTCGAATCCCCGCGGCGGGGTGCGCTCCCGTCGTTCGGTCCCAGCGCCTGCCAACCTAGCAGTTCGAAAGCACCCCCGGGTGCAAGTAGATAAATAGGGACCGCTTACAAGCGGTAAGGTAAACGGCGTTTCCGTGTGCGGCTCTGGCTCGCCAGAGCAGCGATGTCACGCTGGCCACGTGACCCGGAAGTGTCTCCGGACAGCGCTGGCCCACGGCCTATAGAGTGAGATGGGCGCACAACCCTAGAGTCTGGCAAGACTAGCCCGTACGGGCAGGGGTACCTTTACCTTTATTATATAGTTCAGGGATATATTGTGGCCCTTCAGATGTGCTTGGACTACAGCTCCCATCAGTCCTAGCCAGCCTAGCCCAGTGGTCCAGAATCCTAGGAGTCGTAGGCAAATAATATCTAGGAGCCACCCGTGATTTGTATTATAATACATAAAGTTTGGAAACCCATTTGTCTTTCATTTATACCCTACATTTCAGTAAAATACCTCATTTGTATTTCTAGGCGGCGGTTCTAAACCTACTTTCTTGGGAACAAACCACATCAAACCCTGTGGGGCTTACCTCTGAGCAGACGTGGGCAGGATTTGCATAGCTAGAAATGCAGTGAGGGAAAGGATGTTGCCTTGAGCCTAGTAAGCAACGTTTGCCTTGAGATAGGCCCACTTTCCTTGTTGCTGGTGATTGGAAGTTAAATGTGATGGTCTAAAGGCACATGCAGTCAGAACAACTCTTAAACATGCCATAGAACCACAAGTCCTTTGAGCACATCTTAACTATTGTATGTAGAAATTGCACATTCCCCTGCTTTTTTAATGTTGCAGATCAGTTCCCAAAGCGTTCTTAATTTATTCTCAGTCGTTAACCTGAAGAGTTCAGTGAGGTTTGCTTTTCTTCCCATTGCCTCTCATGCAGGTTAGTACACAGAATATGAAAATGGGTGGCCTGCCTCGTACCACGCCACCCACCCAGAAGCCACCCAGTCCGCCAATGTCAGGGAAAGGAACGATTGGGTAAGTACAACTTCATGCGCATTGGAAAGGGGGCAGGGTGCAAAAAGGGAAGGTAAAAATCCTTTCTTGCTTTTACTATTGCTTCATGGCTCATTAGTGCCTCAAAATGACATTGTGGGCTTTGGAGGTGTCTTGTCTCTCTCCCCTGTAGGCAGATAGCACATTCATAGCATCGCCAGGAGGTGGAAATAATGGTTGAATATGGTTTCTTTCGGCAGGAGCCTTTTGGGCTTTTGTTTGTAGTGTAGCTCTACACTGCTGTACCTAGAAAAAGTAGTGGCCCTGATTATTCTATCCGACATGAACAGAGAAATTTCATGGGCCCAGTTAGGTCCGCTGAGAAGCACGGCACCAGCATGTGGAGTGTTCTTACAGGCTCAGTAGAGCCCCATTTTCTCTCTTCCTCTTCTGACCAACTAAGTGTGCAGGCACCATGATAGACCAGCGATTGGACCAGGAACTCTCTGCATGCTTCCCCAGTCTGCCCTCTCCTCTTAATGGAAGTCACTGGTGCACCAGAGCAGAAGTCACTTACTTTGAGAGGAGAGGGAGAGCCGGCTGGGGACATGGGCGGCATGCAAAGACCTCTCTTTTTTGGCACCGCCTTCTTGTGCGCCGTGAAGGGGGAGTAGGAAAATTGGGCTCTGCTGTGCCCAAGGGAATCCTTCACAGGCGCTGCCCCGGCGGTGGACTGGATCCTGCCCTGTGCATTTTCAATATGAACAGTAAGCAGGAGTTCTACACTGCCTTGCCCAAAGGTGTTTGGTGTATTTCATTGTCTGAAATTGCTTCCATACATATGTTTTTCTTGTGTAGGCGTCACTCTCCCTATCGCACACTGGAGCCAGTGCGTCCTCCAGTGGTACCAAATGACTATGTACCTAGCCCTACCCGTAATATGGCTCCCTCGCAACAGAGCCCTGTTAGGACAGCTTCTGTGAATCAGAGGAATCGCACTTACAGGTATTCAGTCTGCTCCTGCACAAAATATTAACAATAATTAAGACACATAACACAGCTTTATAGTGATCTGCTTTTAACCCCCCCCTCCTCCCTCCAACCCTTCACTTAGAACTTCATAAATTCATGTGATTTCTTGGGAAATCCATTGGGAGTTAGAGGGAAACCATGCTCTTTATGCTACATGTTGTATAATGCGAAGTTGTTTGTCTAGGAAGAGTTTTTTTAAAAGATACACAATTTGCTTGCCGAATTGTGTATTGTAGCATATGAAGTCTTGAATAGAACTGTATCCTGTTTGTTTGTTTGTTTGTTTGCTTGTTATAACTTCTATTTATTTGCCTCTCCACCATAAGACGGTCATGGCCGTGCACTGTTTCTAAAATGTGGTGTCTACAAATGAGGGTGATGCTGTCATGAGGCTTTATTGTTACTTCCCAATAAGTTCTGAAACTTGAAATTCCATGCTGAACAGACATTATTATTATTATTATTATACCTGTAGATGAGACTTTGGTGCCTGTGAAAATGTTGGTAACATGAACTAGATAGGAAACATGACTGATTTAATTCCTTTATGTGGATTTGCAGAAGTAATGTAAAAGCTGGAAAAAGGCCTTTGCCTAAGATAGGTCTGTACAGTGGTGCCCCGCAAGACGAATGCCTCGCAAGACGAAAAACTCGCTAGACGAAAGGGTTTTCCGTTTTTTGAGTCGTTCCGCAAGACGAATTTCCCTATGGGCTTGCTTCGCAAGACGAAATGTCTTGCGAGTTCTTGCGAGTGTTTCCTTTTTCTTAAAGCCGCTAAGCCGTTAATAGCTGCTAAGCCGTTAATAGCCGCTAAGCCGCTAATAGCCGTGCTTCGCAAGACGAAAAAACCGCAAGACGAAGAGACTCGCGGAACGGATTAATTTCGTCTTGCGAGGCACCACTGTACTAAGGAAATTGATCTGCAGAACAGATTAGCCCTGGCCAGCATAAAATGTAATGGTATGTTGGTGAGATTTCATGGTGCCGTGCCAAAAACTATTTTAGGCCTAAGCGTTTTTACTTGTGGAGTATTAAGCAATGCAGATAAAACCAACCTCCTCCTAATATTGGCCCTTTGCCCATTAAGAGTTGATATTTCTAGGGTCCTGAAAGCCATTTCCCATAATCTAGCAGGCAGCTGTTACTCGTCAATGATGTACCCTGATTTTAGCTTGGACGTAGGGGGAAAAACAGCAGCACGTCTTTCTTTGTCCCCAAAATTGCAAAGTTTAGCAATCTGCGTGTGCCTGGCATGGAATGGAATATGGATGCCTTTGTGGTTTGTTTGTTTTTATATTATTTCTTTAGCAGCAGTGGGAGCAGTGGAGGGAGCCATCCTAGCAGTAGGAGCAGCAGTCGAGAGAACAGCGGAAGTGGGAGTGTGGGAGTCCCTATTGCTGTCCCTACTCCGTCCCCTCCCAGTGTGTATCCAGGTAAATCCTCTTGGGTTTGGGCGATTCCTTGGTAATGGCAATTATCTGTAAGCTGTCAGGGGGAAAGGCGATGTTTTACATTGGATAAGTTGAAATCCTCCTCCCATTCCCCACCCCGTTTTTGCTGCGTACCTAAGGGGTAACCCTTTCCCTACATAAACATTTTTCTACCTATCCTTCCTCCCCCCCGCTGCTGCCATTTTTGGGGCTAGAGTTTTAAGCGTTTGTGGAACGTTCCGCACAAAAGACTCGAAAGCTTTTCTAATCCTTGCTAACCGTAACTCCTTATTAACTCCTCCTCTTCCTCCTCTTTTCACGTAGCCCCTGCCAGTTCTGCTGGCACTTCTCCCCTTCCTGCTACTTCTGCCCCTGCTCCCACTCCTCTCACTCCTGCAACTGCCCCATCCTCTGCTGCCCCAGATGCTGCTGCCGCTGCTGCAGGGGCTCAGCCCCTTGCCGATGGCTTCACATCTCCAACTCCCCCTGCTGCTTCTTCCACTCCTTCCGCAGGTGAGTTTCAGCTCTTCCTCTTGAGGCAGGTCAGCCAAGATGCAATAGCAGCCTAAGACTGGTTTTGTTGAGTACTGCAGATTCACCGAGTTTCCTATGCTTGTGTGGTTTTCATTGGGAAAGCGTGGCATTTCGTTTCCCATCGTTTCATCATCTTTCTCAGCTGCTGAAAGCACCTTGTTATACTGAATTGTTTGGCTTGCTGTGTTTCTTTGTGCGTTGTTTTCAAAATGCCCCTTTGTCTACCCTAACGTCTATCTCGGTTATTTCGATCCAAGCATTATTCTGACAACCGCACATTGTTGACTTACCATACTTTTCCGTGTAGAAGACTATGTTTTTCTTTTCAAATCACGGTAAAAAGTGGGGGTCGTCTTGTACATGGGTAGTGCATAGGGTGGGTGTTTGATTGGTTGCTGCCGCGGCTGTCAGCGGCTATTGTGCATATGATTGGTTGCTGCATCAATGGGTGGTGTTGATTGGCTGACGCTTTGGCAGTTGGGCAGATGAATTGCAGCTTCTGCCGGCGATGGGACGGACAGGAGGCAGATTTTGTGATGCATATGGATGAGCTATTTTTGGCACCCCCCCCCAAAAAAAGCTCAACAATGCTGAGCAATCCTCTGCAAAAAGCTCAATGACTCTGTGCCATCTCACCTCATTTTCTTAAATTTGAGTCCCCCAAAATAGGAGAAGTCTTATACACGGAAAAGTTCAACATTTTGTAGGTAACATTGTATCAGAAATTCATTGCTTGGAATCATGGTTGTAAATCTTAAGAGATGGCAGTGTGCAAGGCTGTTTAATATTTAGGGGGAGCAACTGATTTACAAGTAGCAAAATAGATTTTTCAGGTTTAATTGATTAACCTTTTAGGGTTAACCAAGGCACTGCTTTTGGATTTGAAAGTTGAGCCGGGGGGTGAGAGACCACCTGAAACGAGCAGCATAGTTGGGTGTTCTGTGACTGGTGAAACCCATTCAAACTTGGAGTAGCTCACAGCCAACTCTTACATGGATATTTGCTATTTGATTATTTTGCAGTTTTTTGGCTTTGCTAAACATGTGTTCCCTTTCCATTCAAAAGTATAATGGATGTAAAAGTTTCTACTGCGTTGGTTTGTTCCAACATGTTTGTCATCAAGTGGTGAACGTGCATATAGGAACTTAACCTTAGTTGAGTTACTCTGGAAAATCAGGCAGAGCACACTGTGGTCATGTACTTGTTTCATGTTTCCGTCAGCTTCTTTGAGAGCTAATGGAGAATCAGCTCAGAGACCTCCCTTTTTTTAAAATGCTGGGTAGAATGCTACCATTCTGCTGTGCCCCATATTCATCTTAACAAGTTTCCTTTGAAGTGTAATTTAAGGTATCCCGTCATATGTGCCTGCTATGTCAGCTGAATTGCTTCGTTTTCAAAAGCATAACATTGTAGGGTTTGTATTAATGCCGAACCTCTGAATCATCTGAGCAGCTTTAAAAGCATGTGAAAAAACACACCAGTGGGTGGTTTCCAAAGCTGTCTTCCCCACAAGCAGAGTAGACTTGCAGTCATGCAGTGGAATTTCACCTTCCTCTCTTTACCACTGCAGCCTCTCTTTCACACCTCAAATTTGCTCTGGAGGTTTGGGGGACCCGTTGGACTTGGGGCTTTTTTTTGCGGGGGCGGGGTGGCAAGAAGCTGCAAGGAGGAGATAGGAAAGATGAAGACCCGGTGTGTGAGCCAAAGGTCTCCTTATGCAACATTGGGTTCCACCCTTTGTGTTCAAACATTTTAGATAAAGCTGAAATCTGTCTATCTATACACACACACACACAAATTTCTTTATTGAAAGTTAAATACTACAGTCATACCTCGGGTTACAGATGCTTCAGGTTGCGTTTTTTTGGGTTGCGGACTGCCGAAACCCGGAAGTACCGGAACGGGTTGCTTCCGGGTTTTGGCGGTTGTGCATGCACAGAAGCACCGAATCGCAAATCGCAACCCATGCGTGCACAGAGCGCCACTGCGGTTTGCAAACGCTGCGGGTGTGAACATGCATCCCACACTGATCACGTTCGCAACCCGAGCGTCCACTGTACATAACCATATACAGTGGTACCTCAGGTTACATACCCTTCAGGTTACAGACTCTGCTAACCCAGAAATAGTACCTCGGGTTAAGAACTTTGCTTCAGGATGAGAACAGAAATCATGCTTTGGCAGCATGGAGGCAGCTGGAGGCCCCATTAGCTAAAGTGGTGCTTCAGGTTAAGAACAGTTTCAGGTTAAGAACGGACCTCCGGAACAAATTAAGTACTTAACCCGAGGTACCACTGTATGTCCACCAAGCATGGTGAGACGAAATAAAAGAGAGAAAAAGGAAAAGACAAACAGCACCTGTGTAGAAGGGAAAGTAAAGGGGGGAACCCAAAATTGTATGCTTTACAAAGTTGTTATTGTACCTCACCAGATCTTAACCTATTACAGTATTTGTAAGAATGGATTCCAAATATCATTGAATTTGTTCATGGCAAGTCTGCGTTTATATGCAAGTTGTTCATATGCCGCGAGTTTGTATAAGTCTTCAATCCAATAGGAGAAGGGAGCCACGTTTTTATTTTTCCAATTCATCGGTTTCAGTCTTTTTGCTGTGGTCAGGGCATGGAGAGTCCACTCATATGAAGCGGAAATCTTGAAATGTGAAAAGGCAGGATTCAGCTTCAACATTTTTGTCCTTAGCCTGACACTTTTCTCCCTTCCGAAACAGGTCATCCTGTTCAGTTCTACAGCATGAACAGACCTGCTACTCGGCACACCCCTCCAACAATAGGGGGCTCTTTGCCGTACAGGCGTCCTCCTTCCATCACTTCGCAGAACAGCCTTCAAAACCAGGTGAATGGAGGACCCTTTTATAGCCAGAACCCAGGTAAGATGCACCGCAGTGAAAATCAGTACTCTAATCCACCAACAAAAAGGCCAGTGTTGTGGTGCCTTTAAAGATCTAACCACATGTTGTGGCGATGATGAATAATTTGACCTTCACCTTAAAATCCTAAATATTAATCTCTGATTGCGGGGAAGGGGTTGCCTTTCTTTGATAAAGTATTATATTTGAAATGTGGCTGTTTTGGTAATTTATCAGTTTGTCTGTACTTTCTGCATTTTATTTTCCTCTGGCCTCACTGTTTACAAGCGTCCCCCCCCATTCCCCGCCCAAACCATATACTTGTAACTTGAGATAACACTTTATTCATCTGATGAAGTGGAAACTTATGCCATGAAAAGGTTAGTCTTTAAGATGCCCAAAGCCTCGGTGTTTTCTGCAACAAACATGGTTATCCCTGAGACAACATTTTGTTTCCCCTCACAGTTCTTAGTTCACTAGGTGGCCAGGTTGCTAAAGAGATGGCTTGTATTTGGAAGGAAACCTGGCTTGAATCAGTTGCACATCATAGAAGCAAGCATGGGGATCTTGTCAGTTTGCTAATGTTTCATAGGAGATCAGTTGATGGAATCCTGAAGTGCACAACTGCAAATAGGCGTGTGAATTGATTAGTCTGAGAGCCTGTAACTTGACAGAAGCCGCACTGGTTGAGCTTCATGACTTACCGTATTTTTCGCTCTATAAGACGCACCAAACCACAAGACGCACCTAGTTTTTGGAGGAGGAAAACAAGAAAAAAAATATTCTGAATTTCAGAAGCCAGAACAGCAAGAGGGATCGCTGCGCAGTGAAAGCAGCAATCCCTCTTGCTGTTCTGGCTTCTGGGATAGCTGCGCAGCCTGCATTCGCTCCATAAGACGCACACACATTTCCCCTTACTTTTTAGGAGGGAAAAAGTGAGTCTTATAGAGCAAAAAATACGGTAAGTTGTGGCATAAGTCTGGCTCTTCCACCCCTAAACCAACACCTCTCTACTGAACCTAAGTGCCTAGAATATATATGCATGTTAATAATGGATCTTCACTCAGTGCACATAACCTGCACGATGTCTGGAGTTTGCACACACCTGTTGAACTTGAATATTTGTGTATGGAATATTTTGTGTGTACATGTTCAAAACATACCGAGAAGTGTCCCTAAATACGACAACGCATAACACTCACAAATGTGAAAAGGTGTTAATAATAAGCATGACTCTTTGCATGCTGAAGGAGAGAACCTATGATTATTCACTCTTTAATGGGGAGACCGATTTCTGAAGGTTTGTTTTTATGCAAAGGTGTTTTCTCGATGCTCAGCATGTTTTGTGGAATCCTTTGCTGTGGTAAGAGTTGTTAAATGGGTGGCCCTTCATTAGTCGGTCATTTTGTTGTCGAGGCACCACAGAAGATGCCAAGTAGCCAATAAATATTAGGTAACTCTCATTCAATCTGTTTAGCCAAGCAGAATGTTATGATTTAAAAGGGTAGCTTGCTTGGATTGTAAATTTACAAAGAGAGTGGCTTTCCCGTGGCGCAGATAATGAGAGGTTTGTAAGTGTAGAATTTTAGCAGATGAAGATGGGATATGTCAGTGGACTTGGACTTCGTCCAGCGTAGAGGCAAAAGGACTTCCAATAAAGACTCACTGTCGGGAGAGGACTGCTGAGGACAACCAGATTCCTGTGGTGCCATAAAGAGGGAGGGAAGTGGCAGGAGAGGGGAGCAAGGAATGCCATTTGAAAATTGGCCTGTTACCTTTTCATTGAGGGAGCATCAGAAGAAGAATGCATTTGAGAACATGGGCTTCAGCAAGGGAGAAGGAGCATGGTGCTTGCTGGGGGAAATCTTGGGACTCATTCTCATTCTTTTCATTGTACTTGAAGTGCAGATTGAAATGCACTCCTGCATAGACTTCCCCATGTTACAGGCACACACTGTACAAGAGAAAGCAAAGCAAAAATAGGTTCTGCACACAACAGCTTGATTTTAAAAATGAAGCGATTGGCAGCAGCCATGATCTGAGGGGGCAAGTATATAGGTACAGTGGTGCCCCGCAAGACGAATGCCTCGCAAGACGGAAAACCCGCTAGACGAAAGGGTTTTCCATTTTGGAGGTGCTTCACAAAACGAATTTCCTATGGGCTTGCTTCGCAAGACGAAAATGTCTTGCGAGTTCCTGCAGGTTTTTCCCCCTCCCCCCTTTTTCCCAAGCCGCTAAGCCGCTTAACAGCTGATCCGCTAAGCCACTTAACAGCTGATCGCTAAGCCGCTTAACAGCTGATCGCTAAGCCGCTTAACAGCTGATCGCTAAGCCGCTTATCAGCTGATCCGCTAAGCCGCTTAACAGCTGATCCGCTAAGCCGCTTAACAGCTGATCTGCTAAGCCGCTTATCAGCTGATCTGCTAAGCCCGCTAAGCCGCTAATAGCGCTAAGCCGCTAATGGGCTTGCTTTGCAAGACGAAAAAAACCGCAAGATGAAGAGACTCGCGGAACGGATTCTTTTCGTCTTGCGAGGCACCACTGTAGCTCAATTTTCAAAAAGTTGTGAGTGCTGAAATATTCTCATTTAGAAATGAGCAGCATCCACTGAATGACTCAGCAGATAGCGAAAGAACGGGAGTCTCTGACGTCATTGAGTTGTGGGGGAAACCTAAATTCTGTCCTGACTCTCAAGTTGCCAAGACCTGGGGGCCGGGATTGGGTTTTGCTTCCAGCTAAACTGTGACCCCAAGTGTAGCTACTTTACCTACCCGTAGAAGTGAAAGATTCCTGTGGACTTCGGTGGAAGGAAGTAAATTGTTTCAGCTGCTGTCGCAAAGCCATGCAGAATGGTGCTTAATCGCATAAGCACACTTCTAAAATCCTGTTTTAAACAGTCAGGTCACACTGTTCATGAAAGTGTTCTGTGTGCTCAGAAACACCTCAAGTACAGTGGTGCCTCGCAAGACGAAATTAATCCGTTCCGCGAGTCTCTTCATCTTGCGGTTTTTTCGTCTTGCGAAGCACGGCTACTAGCGGCTTAGTGGCTATTAGCGGCTTAGCGGCTTTAAGAAAAAGGAAACAAACTCGCAAGAACTCGCAAGACCCTAGAGAAATTCGTCTTGTGGAACGACTCAAAAACCGGAAAACCCTTTCGTCTAGCGAGTTTTTCGTCTTGCAAGGCATTTGTCTTGCGGGGCACCACTGTAAAGTTATTCTTGGTCCCAATCCTGAACATTTTCTCAGACCGGGTTAAGAAATTGTTTTCTAATTTGCTTGTAGATGTTGAATTTTTATGAAGAAATATGAAGCTGTAAATGTTGGTCTTTGGTAATGCAAATGCAGGCTATGTAAAAATGAAGCGCTGGAAAGTCCTTGTGAGTTGGGGAATATTTTCCCTGACTGCACCAGACTGTCTTCCTAATAGCCAAGGATTTCTGTGCTTCTGCCGGACTTGTTTCAGGACTGGTTCTGTGGAGACTGCAGGAGACGAATCCCTTAAGCATGAATTATTTCTGTTTTTTCAATAATAATAATAATAATAATAATAATAATAAAAAAAATTATTTATATCCCTCCCCAGCCGAAGCTGGGCTCAGAGCGGCTAACAACAATAAAAATAACACAGTTTACATAAAATAACAATCAATTAATTGAAATACATTATAAAATCAATTCAGAATCAAATTAATGGCAACCATTGGGCTAGAGTTCAATGAGGATTACCAGAGGAGGGGGTCAGACTGTGCTTTGGCCAAAGGCCTGGTGGAACAGCTCTGTCTTGCAGGCCCTGCGGAAAGATGTCAAGTTAAGAAACAAGCCTGATGATTAATACTGCTTCAAGCAAATTTCAGTGCTGTCCTTGGCAGCTAGGTTCAAGTTGACCTGTTACTATTTTCCCTCCCTTTTTCTTGCATTGAGTAGGAAACCACAGTGCCCATGCAATCTCTCATGTTTTGGGTTCAACTTTTCTAACCAGAGGCCTGCTTTTTTATTGTTGTCGTTCCTTTTCTGCAGTGTCTCTTGCGCCACCGCCTCCCTCTATCCTACAGGTAACTCCTCAGTTACCACTCATGGGATTTGTGGCCAGAGTTCAGGAGAATAGTAAGTATGCATTTTTATTTTCTTTTGATTCAGGTAGAGATATTTTAGTAAGCTTAAGCTCACTTGCAAGTGTTAGGTTTGGAAGATGACAATGTCTCTTGATCACAGACAACCTTGAAATGCCTACTTGCTTCTAATCTAGCAGACGTTCCACATTTAGATTGGTTGTTCATAGACTGTTTCATAAATTTTGTGCATCTACCAGTCAGCAGCCAAGACAGTGCATTTTGCAAAGTGTGATGCTGTGGTCTTCTGCCAGGTGAACACTTTTCATGTGGGATTGGGTTGATTACCTTCTGGCCCCCACTGCAGCAGCGTCCACATAGTGATTAAACTCAGAGCTTCAAAGTTCATGCTTTACAATCTGAAGGGCATGCAGTCCACCCCAAAGCAAAAGAAAGCGACTTAACCAGGAACTGCCATTCAGCATAACCATATGGGATTGAGAACATAAGGACAACCCTACTGAATTCAACCAAAGACCCACCAAGTCCAACATTTTGGGGCCAGCCAGATATCTATGAAAAACCACTAGAAGAGTGCAAGAGCTATAGCACTTTCCCCCCCTTTTGAGTTCCCTAGCAAATGATGTTCAGAGACATACTGCCTCTGAGACTGGATTTGGAAGATCTAGCAGCAGGTAATGTGGAACATGAATCTCTCTAGAAAAGGGCTGGTCCTCCAGCACTGCTTAATTGTCAGAGATGATGAGAACAATGGTCCAAAGACACCTGGAGCGCCACAGATGAGCTACCTCTTCCCTAAAGTGGAAAAGCTGCTGTTTTCCCCGATGTCCAGTGTTTGAGTGTCAGACTCGATGGAAGGTGAACTTTGAACCTTGATCAGTGATTACAAGCACTGCCTTGGATCTTTTCTGTAAAAGGAGGACAACCCATCGAAGCAGACACTGGGCGGGGGGCGGGAATAAGACTTGTAAAGCTCTTAATATATTGGACGTGCTGTATAGCTTTTAAACTCTAGGAACTGCAGTGTGAATTTTTGCTCTTCTAGTTTCAGACACACCTCCACCCCCACCCCCGGTAGATGAGCCAGTTTTTGATGAATCCCCCCCACCACCACCTCCTCCAGAAGATTATGAGGAGGAAGAAGCCGCTGTGGTAGAATACAGTGACCCATACGCTGAAGAGGATCCACCGTGGGCACCAAGGACCTACTTGGAGAAAGGTACATTTGCTGGAAGTTCTAATCGTAGAGTTAACTGCTGAGGCAAGAGTCTTTTCCAGCCATTTGACATGGGTTCAGCTCACTGCACCTTACTGGCGATGCCTCATCCTTGAGATCCTTCAGATGTTATGTTGCCTGGTGGTGGCGCAACATGAAATTAATATTTTACCAGTTGATGGTGTGTCTCAGAGTCCGATCCACTTCCTTAAGCACGAGGGAAGAAAAAACCAACGTTGGCCAGTCCCTGTGAAGCAACTGCTGCTCTCTCGGCTGGTGCTGGATCCTGGTAGCCGGTACTTTGCTAGTTTCCCCAGGATTCCAATACCAGCAGGGAACGGCTTGGATCTGTGTTTACTCTTTTTTTATTTAATAAGCAAGCCAGCTCTTTCCAATCTCGTGGCTTGGCAAGAAAAACCTGTTTTCCGTATCCTCCCCATTAACAACGGTCATTCTTGCAAGCTTGCACCACAGGGCTGGGAAGTAGGATCTGACTGGTGGGCTGGATCCTGAACTCCCCCACTCACTGGGAACTCCACTTGCTCCTCAGTGCCAAATGCATGCCTGCTGGGATCAGCTTTACTTGTCTGATTGGAGCTCCCAGATGCAACCATTCCTGCCTTCAAGCAGGGCTGGTAAGCCAGAGGGATCAGCTCCACATAAGTGTTCTGGTGGGGAACTCGGCAGTGGGCTGATCCCAGCTGTCTTGCATTCAGCACTGACTGCAACGATCTGGTTTGCACTCTAGATCCATTATTTCCTTGCAGCTTTGCCTGCTCCACCCCTGACTTCAGGGCATGGCTGTTGGGAAAATGGCCTCACAGGCCAAATTAGGACCCTTGGCAGGCTTAATTTGACTCGCAGGCTGGAGGTTTCCCATTCCTGTTGAGTGACTGTCCTTTGTTCTGTCACATAACAGATCACAGCGTGAAAAAGCATATTGAATAGTGAGTTAATTCATATTTCTTATTACATCTGTAAGCCAACATTAATTCAAATTCCCCCTTTTTTCCCCTTGGAGAGGAAAGAAACGAAAGATTTTTTTGTGCGTGAGAAAGAATGCAGAAAGAAAGGGAATCTTAGCTGATTAAAAAGTAATTCCATAAGGTCTTCAGCCACCTGAATTTGTGGGCCGTAGTAAAACAGAACTATGCAGAACTACCAAAAGATATTGGCAGTTCTGCATCTGATATACTAGAAAAGCAACAATAGGTGGATTGCATCGGTTGGACAGTCCCTTTGAATTGAATTGGTTTCTCTTTCTCTCTTGCAACCCTTGCCTGGCCTGTTTTTTTTTTTTTTTTTGCTCGTATGCAGAAACTGAATCCATCTCCATTTCATCACTGTACAAGTTTGAGAAAGTAAACGAGCAGTTAGAATTCCTCGATAGACCTGCCTTTTGCTACTTTTAGGAAAGCAAGCAGCATTTTTTAAGGATGCCGTAACCCATCAATTTACTATGTGGGGACTGTTCTCACCAAGATCCCCTTTTTATTATATGAAACCAGAGGGGGAGCATCATGTTGTGTTGACTGTTTCCAAAATAGTTTTATACATTGGTCATTTGGGAAACCCTAAATAGGCTTCCTCTTTTTCAGTAGTAGCAATTACTTGGTTCAGTCTTTTGTATATTGGAATGAGAGGCGTGGAGTAGCCCAAAATTTCTCCCATTTTTATTTTTAGAACTGCAGCATTTGAGCATAAAATATTCTGAAATATCTAAAGTCATGTTTTGGCCTTTTGGGCGAGGAACTGACTTCTTGCGCAAAAAGGGAGAAAGGCAGCATTCAAATCGGCTACTGCTAAAGAGAAATGTCTGCTGTTTGGGAAATGAGGGATTACCCAGATGAAAGCTATAATATGATTTTGACATTCCCTTCAGTTCAGGCAACTGCTTTCTTGGGATCTTGCTATTCTCTCCTTTTTCTGTTTGCTCCTAGTTGTGGCGATCTACGACTACACTAAAGACAAGGAAGATGAACTCTCCTTTCAGGAAGGTGCCATCATCTACGTCATTAAGAAAAACGACGATGGTTGGTATGAAGGGGTGATGAATGGAGTAACGGGACTCTTCCCAGGGAACTACGTGGAGTCCATCATGCATTACTCAGAGTGAAGACAGCCACAAAGAGGCAGATTTGCACCTTGCTTGCCATGAGGTTGTTGGGCTCCCCAGATCTTCTCCAGCGGCTGGGGGGCCCTGTCAAATGAACTGAAGGAAGGAAGGATCATTGTAAACAAAACCACTCTTTATTTTTTTTGTTTTGCTCCCCCCTCCCCCAACCATTTTATAAAATAGTGATTTGAGTTGTTTTGGAGAAATGGCTCTTCCATTTGCCAGCGGCGGCTGGGCTGAGCTGAACGACGTATTTGAATAAGCTGACCGATTCGGGTGTAGATATAGGAGATGTAACGAACTTGCCAATTAACCGATCCATTGCTCAAATTGTGACCCATTCAATCAAGACATGGGATTTTTCTCAGGAATAATGTAAGCCCTGGTATTGGGACATCCCAGATGCCAGTGCTGAAGGGTTGGCTTCGATAGGCCATCCACCCCCCTCCCTCTTTGCCTTTCCCCAAGTCCCCATTCTTCACTCTCTTACTATTGGAAAGAGTGTTATTGTACTGGCAAACATTTTGGGGTTCGCACACCAACTGGATCTCAGGTTGGTTCCTTGCATCTCTGACCCAAAACACTTCTGCAGCTGTTCAGCGCATGTAGCCTGACCCAGGTGCACACGGAGCTGGTTTCGAATCACATTCCTCTTGCTTTGAGAACACAGGAAGTTGTAGCTTTCTGCTTGGCCTCCTGTTATATAGATCCTTGAAAGCTTCGAGCGAGGCCTCTCTCATTTGGTGAAATGGTTGTTAAAAAGTTGGAAGGAAGATGAAGCTTGAAATTAAGATTTGGGCTGCCTCCCTATTTGGAAAAATATCCAGGGAATATTTTGCACCCTCCTCTCTTGATAAGTGACATATTGTCCAGATTCTGCTTTCAGAATACGTATAAGCCACACCTTGTGGTTTCACATATCAGGCTTCAGCCCTGCTTCTTCTCCCGAAGGCTGGCTGCAATCTTCTGAAATTACCTCATGTTTTATAGTTTGGGGAATTAGAATAGAGAAGAATTCAATATCTCTAGAGGTGGGGGAAGTTTGAATTCATTCATAAGTTTCAGCTAAAAGTTTGAGCTGTTTGGCTCAAATATCATCATGCATACCAATCGGATGGTACAATTCGACTTCAGTGCATATCATGAAAGGCTTGTGGAGGCAGGCAGACAAATGTGGCCGAGGCCTGTTAGCTGATCTTGCTAGGAATCCGGAGGGCTGCCTTCTGTTTTGGTTTCCTTTGAAGGCAAATTAGAAACGGAAAAGAGCTTGAGCTACCTTTTCTCCAGTCTTTCAGATGGGTGTTTTCCTTAAATGTGATGAGAAGCCTGCTGTCATGGCTTCTTAAGTTTTAAGGCCAAACTTGATGACACGTGAAATGTCTTTGCTTTTGGTTAAATTGCAGCTGTCCTATTCAGGATCAGGCATGGGATAGTAGCCCAACCATTCCCCCCCACATCACGGTTCCCTCAAAAATAGCCTTTTCCAAGCAGTTGTTAGTTGCAGAAGGACATTGCTTCCGCCGTCAATGGCAGGTTCCCTTTCATACAGAGAGCAGCCTTGAAAGGAATCCCTGTAATTTTTGATGGAACCATGATGTGGAAGAAAATGTGTGTCCCCCCCATATGCCACAGCCCCAATCCTGACCCCCATAACAGCAACCCAAATGAACCATGGATATGCAAAATTCAACCACACCTCTCCCTGACCTGTTGAGTCTTCACTTCAATAGTGACTGAAAAGTGATGAACCTGGAACCACATGTTATGCTAGCCTGCCTTTCTTAACACCAACTAGCCAAAATTCCATGAGACCAGCAAAAATGTGGTTTTGCAGGCATCTAGTTCCTCTATCTGCGCAGGCTGTCTTGGCTTACCCTCTGCAGCTGGTGTGCTCGGAAATCTTCTTCATCATGCTTTGCTTGAGCCAGGAGCAGAAGTCAAGCGGTACCAAGAATCAAGCGTAGATTTTATGTATCTCCCAACTGCACAGTTTGCTTATGTGGGGAGTGCCTTCAAAGATCGCAGAATCAGTGCTCCGAGCAGCTCTAGCCTCACTAAAATGGGATGGCTTTCAGGACTGGCTTCCTTGATGGAGTCAAGGCTTTATGGGGCTGTAGCCCTATAGGCACTGGAGCATTAGGGCAAATTTCTGGCATGATCAGTCTTTACTCCCTGCACAGAATGCGCATGATAAGACTCCTACATATCTACATTGGTGCATGCTCTGTCTACCGTGAGAGGACGTTGTCTTCTATTATGGCCGCGATGCAACCATGCACATATGTAGGTATCGGCATGTGTAATGTTCTGTCTGTGTTGGGATGCACACGGGCCCGAGACCACAGCTCGCCACACGAAGAACCTGCACGGAGATGCAGACTTCTGCATATGTGCTCCTCAAGGCCCTTGCTCAGCTCAACATGATAAACCCTTGGCACTCTCATCTGATTCTGTGCAGGAGGAGGCAAGTCTTGGATATTGTTCTGGGCTTTGATGCAGAATGCCTGCAAGAGAACTAGGTCCTTGAAAGAAAAACGGGGAAAGAAATGTTATTTTCCCTTCTGCGCAAAGCACATTGTGTACCTGCAAGGTAGCTTGCTATGTTGCAAAGAGCTTTTATAGCCGTGAAAAATCCAAAGGAAACGAGGCAGGATAATGAGGATGCTTGAATTAGAGTTTCCTTCTTCTCCAACTGCTCCTGCGGGGAGGGGAGCATCCCCCACCACCCTGTTTGGGGACCCATCTTAATTTCCGCCATTGTTGATGCACTTTAAGTCTGGTACTGGGCCCTTGACTTCTCGAGAATAAAAAGGTAAAGGTAAAGGTACCCCTGCCCGTACAGGCCAGTCTTGCCAGACTCTGGGGTTGTGCGCCCATCTCACTCAAGAGGCCGGGGGCCAGCGCTGTCCGGAGACACTTCCGGGTCACGTGGCCAGTGTGACATCGCTGCTCTGGCGAGCATATTCTCGAGAATACTTACCCCCAATTAAACCTCACCCCATTGCTCCCCCCCCCACACACAACAAAACAAAACAAAACAGGTTGCCTTAGTGTCGGATTCGTCACATCTTAAGAGAGTTCCTGTCTTCTTAGCCCTTCTGGAAAACGCCACAATATCGTTCATCTTAGATTATACAGCTGACCAAACAGCAGACCTGCAGTTCCGATGCCGAAATATCATAATCTGTCGCTTTTGAGGTTGCAGCTTGGTTTTATTTCTAAGAGCAAGGGAAGTTGGCCTGGAGTGTAGGTCCAATCCGGACAGATTCCTCACGCGCACAAGTTGTTTGGAGAAGCTTCTGAGATTGTATCTGTAGTGGGTCCCCCCCTTTTTAAAAGTGCTTTCACTATAGAATTGGTTTATAAGGAGCTTCTCTGCACTGGGTTTTTTTTTTAAATGGTTGCATTTCCTTGGTTGTGTGGAGAGGGACTCTGATGATTGTTGCCGGCTCCAGTGGGGGGCAATGCCAAGTGTTGCCCTAGAAGACTTGATCTTTGTGGCCGTTCCCCACAAACCTCCCGGGCCAGGATCACTTTCCATGAAGCTGCTGCAGACGGTCTTTCCAGATTGCTCGCCTCTTGCTGGTCTTACGCTTTCTATTCTGCAGTACTAACGTAAAGAACTTCCTTGGATTTTACGCTTTTTTTATTTTGTACAGTTTTGAATTCTGTAGAATGTTTAGGGACGATATGTACCCGGCCCAAAGTAATCAGACTTTGTATGTATGTAATGTTGCATAGACTGCATGCTATTTCAAGTCAGTGAGGGTGGTACTCCATCTATCGGTTGTAATTTCCTCTAAACGTTCCCTTTTTTAATTTAATGTTGACTTCTTTTTTAAAGAAAAGGGGGTGGGTGGGGGACGTGAAAAAGAGGGTGGGGGGACGGGCCTGGGAAATTGGAAATAAAATCATTTTCTCCCCATAGAGTCCTGCTTTCAAAAATCAAATTGAGGTGTTAAAAGTTGTGATGATTTGATCATTTGCTTTCAGCCTCTTAAGTGCAAACAGTGTAAGAGTTCTATGTATGATCCGGTATCAAGCTCCTTATCATTTATTCCTTCATAAAATGGCTTTCATTCCCTTGGCCTTCCTTCTCCCACCCATGCAAGTAATGGATCCAAGATGTGTGTGTTTTTCCTGCCGCTCGCATTGGCTTCCCGCTTAAAGACAAAATCTCGGTTTCCACAACACCGGGAACAAATCCTTCCAAGCCAGAAGAGTTGCCAATCTAGAGTAGGAATGATGTATCGCTGAAGTCTTTGCTTCCGGTTGGTGGTTCTTTCCAGGGGCTGCCTCTGCTCTGCTTTGTGTAAACTTACCACTGTCCCCCTAGTTTTGCTCCTGAAGCCTTGCGCACATGCTATGTAAAGGGGAAGAGGGACCAAGACCGTACTCCACGGCTCAGCGTGGCACAGAAGGTGCTCTGAAGACCTGCAAGTGAGTTTCGTCTTGCTACCTTGGACTATAGTAGCAATGTTTAGAAGGTGGGGGGAGAAGAGAATTTAATAAGAGGCTCACGAAACGTTGGCTGCCAGTTTGCAGATGCTATGCGCTGCTAACGCTCAGGTTCGGTGCCATCACTCGAACATGCGGATGGCCTGCTTTTCTATATTTGCCCCCCTTCCCCCCATTTTGGATTATGTCATGATGATATTAAAAAGTCCCTTTGTTTCCGATTCTCTTCTGTAATCTTGCATGCAAATATTGGGGAAACCCAGGCCTGTCCGTTAATGGGACGTTGCCTGATGGCAGATCCCCATCATTGGAGCATCGCTGAGGACCTTGAGTAAATGGGTCCCTTTCCACAAGGTTTTGGGGTGGAATGAACCTTGGGAGCTGTTGAGTTTTCGCATCAACATCTAGCTGTGTGGGGTGAGTCTCTCCGCCCCAAGGGGGATAACGGTTGCCAACTTACTCTCTTTAAAGTAACCATTTCTTACCTGGGCTGCCATCATTCAATTTTTGAAGTGGCATCTTCAGTAAGTAGAACTGACTTCTAGTGTTTTCCAATCTCTGCCGGGCGAAAGCCTTAAATGTTCAGTTTTTCTCAGTGTTACCCCATTGATCAAAGCAGCTAACACTTTCCCCTGCAGGAAAGGGGGGCGAATTCTAAATTTCCCTGAGCAAATTCTGCCAGGGAAAACCAACCAAGGGCATGGCTAGGTTTGGTGCTAAAATTGAATGGAGCATGATGTATGAATGGAAATAGGGTGTCTTCCAATTTGTAGTTTCTGGGGCAGCCTTTGAACATAGAGCAGTATTTGAAAGTGTCATAAGCTTAATGAGGGGCATGATTACTTTAAGACTTGATAACCGGGGGGTGATTTCTCAGTGATGCTGGTTAACCTCTCGGTGTTAACTTTGTGTGTGGGAGACATAAGAGGCAGGCATAGATGTTAAAAAACAGTGCACAGCTCATATCCTAAATGAAGGATTGTTCACGAGAAATGATTCCTTGCAAATGAGAGAGAATGGGGTGGTAGCCAACTCGTAGGTTTTACTCATAAATGGATCCGTTGAAATTAAAGAAATGTGACCAATTTCAGTGGGCCTACTGTGAGTAGAACTTAGTTGGATAACACCCATGACTCTTAAACCTGCAGTATTAAGACACTCACTTTTTCCAAATGAGGAGTGTTGCGGTATTTAAATGCAAAATGAAGCTAACTGATGTTGCCTAAATCTAGGTCGCCTTGATATTTTTATTTCAAAGGCCAGATTTTCCTAGGCAAATGAAATTTGGAGAGACTGTCATTTTTACCTGAGTATTAGATTTACCATCTTCTGCAGCTGCTATTATGTGTATGCAGCATTTGACCATACCTTTGTTTGTAGTTAACGTGCTTTCTTGAGAAGAATGGCATATATGCCTCTCTTTTTTCCTAGCGCCGTTTCTAAAGGTAGCAAACCGGCATGCCTTGAGACGAGCATAAAATTTTGAGACCAGAGTTGTGCTGGACCGGAGAATGAAATTGTATGCAGTTCAGTGATTCTTTTCTTATTGATGATGCTATCTATCGTGTGTACCAAATTCTAAGAGACCGGGTAAAAAGCACAGGCGGGTTTCCGTTACGATCTTGCTGAATGCTCGTGGATGAGATATCTCGATGATCAGGTGCTTATTTTTCTCACGTAACTATCATTGCTTGTGTATGGATAGGTTTCTGAAACCTATCGCAATGGAAACAAACTATAATTTGGTTTACACTGAGCAACTTCTGCTACTAGTGGCAAGTGTTTTTTTCCTGAGCTCTTGTGGTGACCTCATAGATGGTGAGAATTGTGCAGGATTCTAAAGAAAGCCCTGTTAATTATGTTTTACTGTGTGTGCCATTAAACCACCTTCCAACGAGTGAGGGAGCATAAATTTTTAAGAGTTTTTAAACTGTATTTGGAATTAACTGTTGCTGTGTACTAAACCCTCTTGTTACAAGTCCTAAATAAAAAAAGAAAGCACACTCCAATCCCCTCCAAGCGTCTTGAGGTTGTCCCCTCCTTGCCAGATATGGCATTAATTGAACTGCTGTGTGGACCGAGATTAAATTAAATTCCTGTTGGTTCCGGGAATAACTGTGTCTCTCTTTGTAATAAAAGGTAAAGGTACCCCTGCCCGTACGGGCCAGTCTTGACAGACTCTAGGGTTGTGCGCCCATCTCACTCAAGAGGCCGGGGGCCAGTGCTGTCCGGAGACACTTCCGGGTCACGTGGCCAGCGTGACATCGCTGCTCTGGCAAGCCAGAGCCGCACACGGAAACGCCGTTTACCTTCCCGCTTGTAAGCGGTCCCTATTTATCTACTTGCACCCGGGGGTGCTTTCGAACTGCTAGGTTGGCAGGCGCTGGGACCGAACGACGGGAGCGCACCCCGCCGCGGGGATTCGAACCGCCGACCTTTCGATCGGCAAGCCCTAGGCGCTGAGGCTTTAACCCACAGCGCCACCCGCGTCCCTCTCTTTGTAATAGTTCCAGATAATACCAAGATGTAGGATATCATAAACTGCAATGGACGCAAAAATAGTGTTAAGGACACTCCTAATTTTGAGTGGCTCCAAGAACTTCAGAGGGAGCGTGGAAGGTGGAAGATCAGATCTAGGATACTGTCAAGTTACAGTCCCCGAAAGTGTGTATAAAACTTGCATTGAAATCCTTTAACTAACAGGTGCTGCATATCTCCCAATCTGAGTATTTTCAGATAAGCTAAGTGGTTATTTTTAATGCTTCACTATGTTTGGACACCACCTTAGGGAGCTAGGTCAATCTATGCTCCACATGCAGCAGGTTTGTGGTCTTGTGATGCAATATTTTCCTTCATCCACCTGGGCAGGGCATGGTGATGGACTGAAGCAACGAGCCCTTGAGTGCAGGGATTTCCGGGCACTTGTTGCATTTCATGCTTTTGCCTCAAACTCTTGTCTACACATACTGTGCTTTAGACATACCCAAATTTCACAAGTGTGGGATTGTCAGTATTTTTTTCCTCTGGTGAAGCAGCAAGCTGATATCCTCTAGTTTTGAGAGACACTATTAATGAAGATGGCATTAAACTTCCAATTCCTGCTAATGATATTTGTGTACATGATGACCTAATTAAAAGCAAACGTGGGTGTGTATAGAGGAATAGTAACATTGCTGAATAAGTAATATCTTCTTCAAAAGGTGAATGTTCTGTTTCAGTAGAGACTTATGAAGGGATGCAAGGCACACTTGCAGAAAAAGTATTGATATACTCCAAGCACAGAGACGTAGGAAGGTCAGGTGGTACCCAGTGTGAAAAATTTCTTGTCACCCCCTATTGATTTTTTTCTTTTGCCTGCAAAAATGGTTTTACATTATTTCATATTTTCTTACAAAGGAATAATAATAAGTAATAATAATAATAATAAAAACCTTTTATTTCTATCCTGCCCTCCCTGGCCGAAGTCAGGCTCAGGGTGGCTAACATCAGATACATAACATTGGTATAAAATCAAACAATAATTAAATTACCTCCTGAAAGCATGTCAAAATCGAATTAAAGTCTAATTAGATGGCTTTCCGCAGGGTTAGGGTTGGGAACAGTAAGTTCTCCACTGAATTGAAATTTCAGCCTTCACGACACAGGAAAACGGCCAAGTAAACAGCTATTTTTGTGGAGGAGGGTCAAGATATTAACTGATATGTATGAAATTTCATATCTAGCTATATAATCCCTAGTGTAGTAAGATAAGACCTTTGGAGCAGGCATTTTCAAAAAAATGTCTTTTTATGAACAGCCCTAGTAGGGCAGTAATTGTTCCTTGATAATTTGTCACCCCCCCTCCATGATGAAACCTGGGGTGACCCACCCCACCTCCTACGCCCCTGTCCAAGGGTAATCTATGTACTTGGAAAGGCAAGTTAGTTTTGTGTGCAAGCAGTTCTGCATTCAAGCCCTGGTTTTAAAAAGTGCTGGGAAAAGCCTTGAGGCTGCTGCCAGACAATACTGGGCTAAATGGGCAAGTAGTCTCACTTCATACTATGCACTTGACCGTTCATGTTTTCAAGCACAAGGAGTATATTTTATTACCTAGATGGGAGGTCACTTTTTTCACTCAAACACAAAGGAAAGAGAAAGAGAAAGCCACTAGGATATCTTTGCAATAAAGACCCAAGGATTCAAGACTGCAGCTAGAGGTTTCTTTTGCAGTTAGTTTACTTTTAAATAAAACTTAAAACAGAAAATGTCACATGAGAACAGCGGACAAATTTAACTATATCTTTATTGACTTGTGCATATTCCATTGTAATGATTTCCGAGTACTTTGTCATTGAATGCATTTTTTTATTTTTTTCTCCCATGCTTAAAAAAAGTATATTTATACATATTTATAGAATATTTATATAGAACAAAGCTCTTCTCGACTGTAAATTACCACTTTCAATGAGATTTGCTTTCTTAAAGGGAAAGGAGATGGGGAGGCAGTCCCACTCTAAAGATAAAATGTGCAATTTTTTATGTAAAGCAGTAAACATATGAATGTATTTAAGCACTTAGCACAAATCTGCACAGACAACATAATTGCTGCAATGTTGGTGTTTAACAGGTGCATAATCAAGGACTGCTTACCAGTCCTTACCACTATCGACTGCTTACCAGCCTGCAAAACAAAGCTCAATTTCCCACAATTTACAATCGCACAGTAGGTGAAGCAGGCAAAAGCAGACAAATGACCCAATCCCATTTTCAAATGCATACTTTGTGAGAAATCGAAGATGCTGCAGCACAGATTTTTACCCCCCCCCCGGCCCTCTAAAAAGCGAAGCACATTCTCGTCCAGAGAGTTCAATGTTTACCAACATTTTTGTATTGGCCCCTGTAATAAAGATTTCCAGCAGAACCTGTTGGACGTAGATAGGCGTTTTGAGAAAACTACCACAGACTGTCCTGTTATCTCTTTGGTAGAAAGAAAACCCCAAATATTGGTTGCTGAGGGCCGTACGAAGATGCCCTGCCAAGCCCGAGGCGGCGAACCATATCATCGCAGCAACTGGTACCAGCTTCTTGCTGGTTCAGTATTGCAGTTTGCATATATTTAAAGCCATCATGTAGAGCATCTCTCTTGCCACAGCTGGGCAAGGATGTGATCTACTAAAAGGGCGTTGACAATTGATAGTGTCGGGCTCATAAATTCTACACCCCCAATAGGTCATAAATATACAGGTTTGCAATGTGTAGCTGAATTTTGAATTTGCTTTAGTGGTGGGAAGGGGGCAAAGTAAAGCAGCATACAGATGTGTACATTACACACACTGAACAAGATTGCCACTGATCGCAGTGCTTTAAATATTCACTTTATGGTTATGGGGTTGGTTTTTTTTGGGGGGGGGAGTGGGCATAATGGTACACTCAAGACTAAATTGGCTCCAGCACATCTAAAAGCCAAGCTACACATGAAGCATGTAATCAGCAGAAGAAAAAGTACAAAATTGCTAGGTTGCCAGTGTGGGAACAAGGACCTCTCCGTCTCCTCCCTTCTCTAACCTCCGCCCCCCCCCCCCCCGAAATGCTGCCTTGGGGCAGATGTGAGCTTAATGTTGGTTTTCCTGCACTCAACTGTTTAGCAAAGAGGAACAAGCACAGTTGCCAATTCTCCAGTTAAGGTGTGATTTGGCCCTACAAACCTTCTCAGCTTTCGAGATTAAGCAATACCTTTTCAAGTAGGTAACCGTTAAAAAATAAATATAGGATGCTTTTCTTGTCCGGGCCAAAGGGTCTACAGAAGTACCTCACTATGTGTAAGAAGAAGCAGCAGCATGTACTTTTTACACTTGGGGTTATGAAATTAGGGTTATGTTAAAAATGTCCAAATGCATTTTGAACCGATCTGACCTCAGTACTCTTTTAACTTGTAAGTGGTTTTTAAACATGAAACGGGATCGACATCTTTAAACACTAAAAGGCGTTTAAGGCCAAGCGGTTGTCGTCAAAAGCAGTGTGGCTAACCTCTTCTCAAATTTGCAATTTGCTAATCAACCATGCAGACAAGAAAATGAAATGCAAGTAGAAATAAAAAAACAAAACATTTGCATCACTGAAGTTTAAATAGGCATGAATTCAGCTGATGTTGCTCAGAAAAGTCTTTTTGAGTTCCATCTACATGTCTGCCCATGTTGTGCTCACTGAATATTCCTGTCTTGTTTTTGAACCCTTCCCAAACTTTCAGGAATGTCCACATGCCACATCCGACTTCCAAGGAGATTTGTAAAGAAAATTGCAGCCCAGAGCATTGTAGTAGACCTGCAAACTCAATTTAAGACTCCGTGGGAACGACTGAAGCAATAGTGGGGAACCTGTGGCCTTTCATGGGGGGGGGGGGCTCCCATCATAGAATTGTAGTTGGAAGAGACCCCCCCCCCAAGGGTCATGTAACCCAACAGGAATCTCAGCTCAAGCATCCATGACAGATGGCCAATAGCCTGGGATAAGGCAGCCTGTAGTCCTAACATCTGGAGGGTCATAGGTTCCCCACTCTATCTTAAGAGAGCTTTATAAATTAAGGAAGGGAGACATTCAAGAAGAAACAACAGTTGCCGCTGCTAAGATTAGGACACCATCCAGGGCAAAGATGCAATTTGCCCTTTTCTGTTCACAAACTGAAGAGATCGTGTGAGGCCTAAGCTGCGTTGCCCTGTTCTGTTTCAGTAACTTACCCCTCACATCCACTGTAGGCAATTTAAAATCCCAGAGCACGGTTAACAGATAGAGATGCTGGCAAAATGGTGAAGCACCACACAATTAGCAGGCATAGCTAACCTCAGAATGAGCACGATTTTGAAAAAAGATCCATGGAGATAGTGCAATCCTACATAATGTCGGAAGTAAGCCCTGCTGCATTCCGTGGGACTTAATTCGAGGTAAGTGTGTAGAATTGCAGCATTAAATGACTGTAAGATGCACATACCGTATTAGCATGTCTGTAAGCTGCACATACCATTAAGGTAGAACATCCGTATGCTGCATCCATAGCAGTGACCCGAGGAGGAATGACAGCTGGGAGATGAAATGCAACAGTGCATCTGCAGGAGCACAACCAGACCCCTTCATCTGCCCCAGCTGCAACAAAACATGCCTCACCACAGGTGCTGTAACCTTCCAACAGTTCACCCCCAAAAGTGCACTCCTACATCGTCTCCAGAGACAGACGGATGCCTATAAACACATCTGGAAAATATGTTCTACATTACCGTTTCTCCGAAGACACCAATGGGTAGCTAAAATGGTACCTTCTTACCCCTGCTGTTGCTTACTTGTGGGGAGGGGCACATTCTTTAATTTACCAGGGCACAAAAATTCATGACATTCTGAAAATGTCAGTGTGGATCTTGGTTAGTTGTTTGCATTTAAGACGTTTCGTTAAAGCTGGGAAGAGACATAACAGTACTTCAAAGGCATTGGTTCTAAATTAACAAAAGGGGGCAGGGAGTGAATTAACTGACTTGGCTGCCCAAAGCAATCCCACACTCTCTTCTTAGCAAGCTTATGTACCTGGCTATGAGGTTGCTACTAGACATGGAACAAATCTGGCATATTCCTCACACTTCCCAAGTGAGGTGGGGTTTTCCCCCCTTTAGGCCAGCAAGTGGTCCGAGCAGCAACGGAAAGAATAAAGGTGAGCACCAAATGCATTGTAAGTAAAAAAATAACCACCGTTTGTTGTAAGACAAGCTAAAATGCCGCAATGTAAATGGTTAAGGACACTTTATAAGCACAAAAATAGAAGAAATGAAACTCTGAACACTTTGAAAGTTACCAAAAAAAGTGCCACCCGACAGCAGTGCTTTAAAAATGCACACAATGGTATATTATTGCTCAAGTAAACTATTCTAAAATAGGAAAACTGTGTCCAGGACACATTTGGGGAAGGGAAAACAAGCAGATTCAGCATCAGATGACATAGCACCATTCCTTTCTGCATTCGAGATCCTTCTAGGCCAAAAGCAAAAATGACTCTTAACTTTCTCCAGCTTTTTCTAGGGCGAAATGTTAAGCCTTCCAAATTACCCTAATTTGGATACCTTTCTACAAACAGAGCTTAGGCAGACGACAGTCTTTTTTTTAATCAAAAAAAACAAAGGCAAACTCCACCACCTCAGCCCCAGAAGCAACTAACTTCTGATACCTAAGACAAGCTTACGATGGGCTAATTTTTCAGGTTTAAAAGGTGGCAAGCCCTTTAAACACAAGTTCAGAGCAAATTATCGCTGTGCTTCCCCTTACACACACGCACTGCACTCGTATGCAATTCAGTAATAGCCAATAATAAGAAAGTTTTACAATCTGCATTGCATCGCACAGCAGATGCAATACTTGCTGCCTGGGCCTGCGCATCACTTGAATGGTTTAAGCGGAATGAGCAATGCGCTGCTGGTACACTGGCTCAAAAGTGCACAGCACTAACTCACCTTTGTTCAGCATGCTACCAACAAAACAAGCTCATGGTGCGTTTCTCTGCCAACAAAAATCTAGCTGCTTAGCCAAGAAGAAGCCTACCATCCTATTTTTCGCTTCTCTCCTAACCGTAAAAGCTGGCTTGCGCACAACAGCAAACCAGCGCCTGGTTTGGTTGCTTGCTGGCGTGCTAGCAAAAGGAAGAGCGAAGCACGGTCTCTCCAGCACACTGGTCCTTCATGTTAAGCCATAATTCAGACTGGTGTAAACATAACGCATGAGCTGGGCCGCTGCTTCAGAACTTCCTCGCCTGGTAAAAGTTCTGATTAAATTCCAAAATGCACTGGATGAAGAGGTTTTTTGACTCGACTAGAGCATCGCAGATGACGGGAGCCAAGACTTAGCTCTCATGCCATCTCCAAATCAGGCGAAAGGGAATTGCGCTATGATCGCCCTTTTGCTTTGTCCATTAACAAGCCATTCTGCCGCCCCCTGGGGTCACCTGTGTGTGAAGAAGCATTTCAACCACTTAAGCAATGCTTGCCCACCCAGCTGTTGTGGAAATGGGGGTCATATTTGCATGTGCCCCTCTTCAGCCATGCAGAATGTATATGGGGGCGGGGAAGGGTGCCCAATTGGGTGAGCAAACCCCATTTTCTCCACATTCCCCCGCCAAGAAGCAAGGTTGAAGCGGGTTTGCAAGTGCGCTTGGCTGAACATGCTCGCAGCAGCCCTGCCCATAACCCAGAACCTTGTGCCATCCAACATCTGAGGTGTGGCCAACTTCTCTCCACAGATACATGTTTTGAACGTCGGGAGAGGGTTCGCGTTGAGCGTTAATCTTAAGAGATGCAGGTGCGCTTGGGTCGTACGCAAGATGGCATCTTGGCAACCTGCCGAGTAGCACCAGAGCAAGGAGCTCGCGAACTGAGCCGAATTGGTGGTCACACATGACAACTGGCACACCCAGAATGATTCCGAACTGAGCTTGCAGACGCACCATTTCTGCTTAAATGCCAAACTGATCTCTAAATAAAAATGAGTAACATGGATTAGAAGAGTGTGTATTTATTCTAATTAAAAGCACGATCCCTTCAGAGAAAATCCCACTTGATTCATTGCAAGTTGCTCCCTGGTAAGTGTGAACAGGATTGCAGCCTTGGAGCCGGATCCTACACCTATTTAGTCACAAATATGTCTCCGCCGTGTTCCATGGGGCTTACACCTAAGTGCACAAAGGTGTAATAAAGGGCAGTGTCTTCTTAAGCGTTTTGATTAAATAAATCCTTTCCTTTCCCCTTAACAGTTCCAGAAGGGAATGTCTGTATTTTGAAGTCCAAATATATTTAACTCCAGGCCCACAATACAACACATCCCCTTTCCTATGTATGGATTTAATCTCAGTAGTATTACAACCAGAATGTTTTGGTAGATTGTTTCGGAGTTTTCAATCAACTGACAATGTACGAACGCTGATAGAATCTGTCAGCACCCTATACCCGTCACCGACTGGGGAAAATAGGTTTTTTTTCTGATTAAAGTGCCTCCTATTATCTTCAATTTTTAAAAGGGCATTTCTTTTAAGATGTGCCATCCAATTTCCGGTAATATACATATCGGTTGACTGAAACAAATAAATACAGATGTACAAAAACATTCTGGTTAGCCTCTATCATTGCAACAAAATACTTCACAATATATTATATACCTACATTTATAATACATGCACCAACATGTCTCACGTGACAGACAACAGATGTTTTCCTGAATTGCAGGAAAAAGAAGTGTTTCAAAGATTTTGGTCCAATCCGTAAGGAGGATCTCAAAAGAGTTAGCCCGCCCCTTGCCCCAATAAACCAACTGCAAACAGAGAAATCTTTTGGGCTGATTGTGAACCGAAACAGGCGCCCATAGCTTCTGTTCGTGTGTGTGTTGTGTGTGCGTGCGTGCGTGCGTGCATGTACACACACACACACACACACACGCAGCTATTAAGACAAGGAGTTTCACAAGTGTATCAGACATGTCATTCGTAGAGTTCACTGGCGGCCACTTACTATCACCAGTCTCGAGAGAGTTTGGTGTTTTGATCCCTCTTGGGGGGCGCCGGCGGTGGACCTCTCCGTAACGTTGCATAGCCCGATATGTGGCTGCCTCCAAAGTTGCTGCTCTTCTGCTTCTCCGTGAGAAGTTCCGGCGGGGGCGGGGGCAAAGCCATGTCATCCATGGTGGCCGTCGGCTCCGCCCTGGATATCCGGGCCGAGGAGAGGGAACCGTGCCGCGTGATGGACTTGCGCTGCAGAGTCCTGTTCAGGTCGGCCAGGAACCCGGGCTGAACGCTAAGGCCAGACTTGGGCGAGGTGGGCGCTTGCGGAGCCACGGCCGCTTGCGGAGCTGCGGCGGCCTGGGCTTCGGCCATTTCCGCCTGCGTGAGCCGGGTGCTGTCGTTGCGCTTGGGGCGGGTGGGGGGAGGAGCTTTCTTCCCCGACTGCTTGGACCACGGGGGCTGGGGCTGAGGGTTGACGACGGCCACTTTGGGAGAGGTGTTGCCCGAAAACACGGCGGGAATCTCTATGGGCGGCATAGGGAGATCGATTTCAGGCGGCGGAGGGGGGAAGTCCGAATCCGATGGAGGGGAAGGAAACTCTTCCACGGTACCCTTCCCGGGCGCGCCTGCGGCAGGTGCCTTTGCGGAAATTCCCGCTTGCTGAAGTACGATAGGCAGGTTGAGCTTTCCTGGCTTTGGGGGAGCTGCAGGGGGGAGCGGAGTCTCCTTCACAGGAGACCCCAAAGGCTCTGGCGGAGGTGCAAATTTGCTGACCAGGCTATCCACCGACGGTCTCTTTGATTCATGGTACTCCGCTGAGCTGTTGGATTTTATGCTGGAGTTCCGCTGGGGAGTCGGTGGGGGCTTCTTTCCTCCCGGGCTGGAGGTCTTGGTAGACTTCTTGACCGGGGAACCCCCTGCCTTGTCCGGCGTGGGAGACACCACCGCCGGAGCAGGGGAGGGCGGCGGAGGAAAGGCTAGGCTACTTTCAGGTGGCGGAGGAGGAAAATCGGGAGATGGGACGGCGGTGGGCTGCCACTTCGGCTTGGCTTTGACTGCCGGAGGAGACTGCGGCGGCACGTTCAGAGGGGTGGGCTTTAAAGGCTGAGCTCTGAAGCTGGCATGGGAGGCGGAGGGAACTGGCTGGCGATTTGCTTCACCACCGATGGCACAGGGGATTGCGGCGAGGGCGGGAGTTTCCCGGAGTAGCTCTGCTGCTTGGGCAAAGTGGGCGGGGGGAGAGGGCCTAGCGGGACAGGAGACAGGGGAACCTGCGGAGTTGCAAAACTCGTCTGCTTCTTCATCGCTGAAGGAACCAGGGCAGGGGCAGGTGGCGTGGGTAGAGCCGCGACAGGCGAGGCGGCTTTTGAGCTGCTCTGTGTAGGCAGAGTCATGGCAGGCTTAGGAGGGGCTTGGGGAGGTGGCGGCGCAGGCATAGGCGGGGGAGGCGGCGGCGTGGCAGGGGCTGCGGCTGGCGCCGGAGGAATATTCTGATGAATCTGGTGGATTTTGAGAGGAGGGGGAGGAGGGGGTGGCGGCGTGAACTGTGGCACTGACGGGATGGAGGGCACGGGTTTCATGAGCTGCGCCATAGCTGAGCCGGGGGTAGGGGGAGGTGGTGGGGGCGGCGGTGGAGGGACCACGCCATTAGGGGGCACTGGGTTCTGGGGTTTAGCTGGTGGCAGGATTGGTGGGGGTTGCTGCATTATATGGGGGGGCTTGAAGAGAAGCCCCCCATGCTGAGAGGCGTTCTGCAGCCTTGTTATCGTGCTGTACTTCACAAACACGGTGGCTGAGCCACCTCCCGATGACATGGACTGGCTGGGGAGGGGCGGCGGCGGAGGGGGTGGCGGAGGAGGAGGGGGTGGCGGAGGAGGGGGCGGGGGCGGAAGGGGAGGCGATGGCTGTGAAGCTGAATATAGGGGGGTCGCTTTGGCCTGCGGAGACAAAGCTGGTGGGACTGAAGTAAAGGGTCGACTTATTGAGTCCATTCTAGCCTAAAAGAGAAGGGAATACAAAAAAACCAAAATAAAATTCAAACATATATGAAAAGAGAAATGATTGTGAAAGTGCCTGCTATAAACTTAACTACTATGAATTACAAAAAGTTGAATAAAGTGTTGTATAACTGAGAGAGAAGGTTGGGTTGGTACTATGTGCAGAGGGACCTGCACAAAGTTCGCAATTGCATTAGGGAAGACAAGATCTCCCATTGCTTTTAGAGCAGAATCCCTCACAACTGCCTAAGGTGGAAATATATATGGCCAAATTTGACGGGAGGGGAATGCAAGTGACCAAGCACTGATAATCAATACACAGAGTGAAAACCATCACGACTAACTATACCACAGAATAGGAAGGGAAGTCAAGGCATGCAGGGATTATTGCACCGGGGGGAGGGGGGGGAAGGAAGAGGTCAAACAGAAGGCACCAAGAGTTCTGGTCAAGTTATTAAGGTGATTTACTTTGTGACATCTGTTAATAGATAATGGACCACCAAATGAACAATCCTATGACCGTTCCTCCATATTATGTGATTATTTGAGGGAAGCATTGTGAAACGATGGTTTCCTGCAATTTAGAGCTATGCATACCATTGCAAAGAGTACTTATCTGAAATTCAGCAAGCTATAGAACTCTTTTAAGATTCTTCATTCTGGGAAGAATTTTCCAGCAATATATGCTAAACCAGAACCATGACAGATTATTAATAAATTGGGGTGGGGGTGCATGACATTGTCAAATTAGGGCACTAAAGGCTCAGGCACTTGTGGACTAATCAGTGTGCTTAAATATTAGATATCTCTTGAAAAAAGTTAGTCTGCATGATTTTGGTTGCATCATTCACCCAGGTTAATAGTTCAAACAAGGCCCCTGACCTTAACTCTACCCCTGCTTAAGTCATCACTGCAGTGGAGCTCTGAGCTGTTCCGGGTTTTGCATTTGCCACATGAGACTGCGAGGCAACAGGAAAACAAAACAAAACATAGCATAAAACATAGGGGAGCAAGCTGCGACATGAAGCAACTGTTACCATAATGGTATATTCCCAGAATGTATGAGGCTTGGCTGTTTCTCCAAATTTAATGGAGAATTCTTGGCTGCTTCCTTACGTAGGAATCATGGCTTACAAGCAAGGCCAATGTTATGCAATGGCGAAATTCATATCCTATCACGACAATATAGTATTGTCTGTTGTATGATACTTACGCTAATTTTGCCAGACTCTTCCAGTTGGGTACCCCGTTTCCAGGCCTCTGAGAAGATGGAGCTAACGATACTTTGAGAACGGACATGTCCTGTTTGGGTATCTGAAACTCCGCTATCTGATTGATTAGAATGATTGGATTGAGATTCTGTGGAAAGAAATGCAAAACACACATTGGACATCAATGTGGCTCCATGATCACAGCAGATGGTGACAGCAGCCACAAAATTAAAAGACGCCTGCTTCTTGGGAGAAAAGCAGTGACAAACCTAGACAGCATCTTAAAAAGCATAGACATCACCTTGCCCACAAAGGTCCGTATAGTAAAAGCTATGGTTTTCCCAGTAGTGATGTATGGAAGTGAAAGCTGGACCATAAAGAAGGCTGATCGCCGAAGAATTGATGCTTTTGAATTATGGTGCTGGAGGAGACTCTTGAGAGTCCCATGGACTGCAAGAAGATCAAACCTATCCATTCTTAAGGAAATCAGCCCTGAGTGCTCACTGGAAGGACAGATCCTGAAGCTGAGGCTCCAATACTTTGGCCACCTCATGAGAAGAGAAGACTCCCTGGAAAAGACCCTGATGTTGGGAAAGATGGAGGGCACAAGGAGAAGGGGACGACGGAGGACGAGATGGTAGGATAGTGTTCTTGAAGCTACCAGCATGAGTCTGACCAAACTGCGGGAGGCAGTGGAAGACAGGAGTGCCTGGCGTGCTCTGGTCCAGGGGGTCACGAAGAGTCGGACATGACTAAACAACAACAACAAAGTGCAAAACCCACAAAAAACCCCACAGAAACAAGTTTATTTGAGTGAATCACTCTCACATGTATAATCCTCGACTCCGTATGTGAGCTGGAAGATACTCAATGGAATCGAACGCTTTCTCTGTTCATTTAACAACTGAAAACAGTGCACAGGACCGAACAGAAGTCTGCTTCATCTTAATGCTCTGGCAACAAGTCCCCCAAACACCGTCTCAATGTAATTATTCTTTAGTTCACGTTCTTCACATTTTAAAAGGTGTATGTTTCTGAATTAAATGGTAGGTCTCATTTTCATGTCACCCAAGGGTGTTTTTACAGCGAATCAAAATTTCTTAAAACATTGTATAGAAACAGGATGGTACTGAGGCTTACCTGGCAAACTAGATGAACTGGATCCAGACTTGATACTAGAACTGGAGAGGGATGTCCAGTCATATGCCGATTCTGTCCTTTTCAGGGCTTCTTGATAGTTTACGTACAATTGTTTCCCATACTGAACAAAACAGAACAGGGAATGTGAACACTCTGCATGATTCAAATCCCAAGCTTATCAACCCCATCCCTTTCATTTTAGACTAGGGGGCTTGCTCCTGACAAAACCTACACTAAGATTAGCTGACATTTTGCTGGCTGCCTGCTGGAGTCTTGGTTTCTTATTACCAATCTGCACTGAAAGCTAGAAACAGCTGCTCGCCTGATGGAATAACAACTATCTGGAAAGTGCCATGGGGTGAAATGGGTAGTTCCAGCCAATAACTCTTCTAACACACCGAGTTACAATTCTCCAGACAACTACAGAGCTTTGCATATGAGGGTATATGGGAAAACCAAGAAGGCACAGGTGCCATCCCAAGCACTAAGTTCCATATGACATGGAATCCTAGGAAGAGGGTTACTTGTCAAAGGAGGAATAAAAATGTTAAAGAGGCTGGAAACGCTTCAACGTGAAAATAAATGGTCACAGAATGAAGACTGCGTGATACCCAACTAGGTCATACTCAAGAGTAGACCCAATTAAGTATAGTGATTTCAAATCTAAGGGGACTAAAGTTGGGCATCACTTATTAATTTGGACATACTTTTGGTTTAATGTGTTATACCAGCCTGGAAATGCATATTCTGATGTCCAGCAGAGTAAATAAAAACAGAGAACTTAAAATTGTTACAGCAATCCATTTTTATATAATCATATACTTTGTTATATGCGAGTAACAATTTTTAAAAGAATATATTTAAATCTGATTTTTAGAATCCCTGCCCTTAAAAACAGTGTCTATGTTTGGACATTAGCAACACCATTCTGTGTTTATACTTTCCAACTCTTATGGTATGACAGCTATTGGGAGAGGAGCAGAGAACTGGAACATACCTTAGCGATACGGATGCCATTTACCCACTGATGTAGGGTTCTGATATCATCACAACACAAATATTTAATATATTGAGATTTCTTCTGAATCTGAGGATGCTGGAAGAGAAACATTTGGCGCAGTCAGGGTGAACAGAATTTAAAAATAACAACCTTAACCATACAGCATTAAGACTACTCAAAGGGAAGCAGAACAGTCACGTTCAAAGATTTTGCAATTGCGATAGCAAAAGGTGAGGAATGCATCCTTTGAATGCTAGGGTTCCTATTTCTTCACTGAAGCTGTTGACAGAAACTGCTGCAAAATATGATTAGGAACTTGCCGCCTTCTCTCATAGGCAAATGAAAACAGGATCTGTATATTCAAACTGATGGAGAGTGGGTCAAATCAATACTGGCTTATACAAAATATGCCTTTTTTTGGGGCGTTTCATGCAGAAATGGGCCACACGCAGCACACAAGGTACAAGAAGCTTTCCAGCAACTACCGTATTTTTCGCTCTATAGGACGAACTTTTTCCCCTTCAAAAATTAAGGGGAAATGTGTGCGCATCCTATGGAGCAAATGCAGGCTCCTTGGCTTCAGCGATAGCAAAGTGAAGCTTCCGAAGCCTGCGCTCTGGAGTCTTCGCGTTGCTTTCGCTGAAGCCAGGAGAGTCTGCTCTTTGAGGCTGGCGGTGGGGGAAAGCAGCGCTTTTGAGGTTGGCGGGACCTCCCGCAACAGCAGGGAGAAGATCTGGGAGGAAGCGCACAGGCTGCGTGCAGCCTGTCCGCTGCTCCCAGAGCTGCGGGGGGGGGGGGGAGAATTATATTTCCCCCCTTGATTTCCCCCTCTGAAAACTAGGAGCGCCCTATGGACAGGTGTGCCCTATAGAGCGAAAAATACCGTAGTCTGTGGCCTTTTCCCCTTCCCCTTTTCATTTCTCATATTGACAGCTACTACTCAACACTTACTTTAAGTACTAAACAATAGTCTGTAGGGGCTTTATACTTATTCCGATAGTCTTGGCCGTAGTAAACATTTACATGGTCCAGCTGAAGAAAGCATACAAGATCCCGAGAGACCTATAAAAAGAAACACATACGGTCATGGATGTAGAAACCCTCAAATCATTTTACCGTAACTCTTACAAAGTTACTTCCTGTGTAACTTTCAGGTTAATGTAAACACAAGGAACTACAGTGGTGCCCCGCAAGACGAATGCCTCGCAAGACGGAAAACCCGCTAGACGAAAGGGTTTTCCGTTTTGGAGGTGCTTCGCAAAACGAATTTCCTATGGACTTGCTTCGCAAGACGAAAATGTCTTGCGAGTTCCTGCAGGTTTTTTTTCCTCCCCCCCCTTTTCCCCAAGCCGCTAAGCCGCTTATCAGCTGATCCGCTAAGCCGCTTAACAGCTGATCTGCTAAGCCGCTTATCAGCTGATCCGTTAAGCCGCTTAACAGCTGAGCCGCTAAGCCGCTTATCAGCTGATCCGCTAAGCCCGCTAAGCCGCTAATAGCGCTAATCCGCTAATGGGCTTGCTTTGCAAGACAAAAAAACCGCAAGACGAAGAGAATCGTGGAACGGATTCTTTTCGTCTTGCGAGGCACCACTATAATCTCAGTAGGCAACTAGAATAAAACAAATTAACCGAAGACAGGAATAAAAACATTAGTACTATATAATCAGCAGAATGGAAAATGTTACAAGATCAAAGTGGAACAATTTTCTAGGATCTCTCAACTATGAAAAGAACTTAAAATTAGATTAAAATGCCAGTGTTTCCAAAGTAAAAAAAATGCCTTTGTGACGTACACTAAGTCACTATTGACAATTTTAAGCACATAAAAAAAAAATTCAACTGTGATATGCTAATGGAACTCAACAGGAAATTAAGAAAAGCATGAGTGTTAAAATATTACCAGAAAGGGGACATAAAGATTTCTTTATCAGGTGGTGATTAATATTAAATAGATATTTTCATTGGGAGCGTTTTCATTCAAAAACTGAGTCCACCATGGGGAAGGGTAAAAGATGGGGCTTGGTTAACCAAATATCTTCTGACAAAGATTGAAATAGATTCAGTTATCAGAGCTAGCTACTTATTATTCCTTCTTTGGGAAGAGGAAGAGTTGGGAATTATGGGTAGGACTCATCTAACCAACCCCATCAGTGGAAGCCCCCTATGCAAGGATTTCCGCTTGTGCAATGGGGCTGTCCCCCCTTTCCTCCCCAGGAAATCGGCTTGGGAGAGTGGGACAGAACCCTCAGAACAGTGTGGGAGAGGAAAAGAAGGGGGATCATTTTATCCGGCAGGCTGCAAACTTGAGCCGACGGGAGTGACAAACTGGGATGTCAGGGTTTTGAAAAGATGAGAGTGGCACAAGTCTTAAAACAGTTTTAGAAACCGAAGATTCACCTTCGCCTTTCCTTTGGGAACATAGTAGATTCCAGAAGCGCGCAGAAGAAAATAACGCTTCTTCCAAGATTTTTTGCCATCATCCTTCAGCCACAATACACCCTCAATTTCTGGCACCGTTACTGAGCTTCCGCAAAAACACTCCTGGAATAGAAAGTTAACATAGATTTGAAGAGAACATTCTGCAATCACAGGGAGATTTCTTCCAACACACATTAGCTAACCTTGAATATTTTGTCCTTTTTGTCCTCTACAGTAAATTAGCCCAGTTATTTCAGCTCTATCCTGGCCCTCATTACTGACTTGACCAATGGATTTAGATTATGAGCTCTGTAAGGTAAAGGTAAAGGGACCCCTGACCATTAGGTCCAGTCGTGGCCGACTCGGGTTGCAACGCTTATTGGCCGAGGGAGCCGGCGTATAGCTTCCGGGTCATGTGGCCAGCATGACTAAGCCGCTTCTGGCGAACCAGAGCAGCTCACGGAAACGCTGTTTACCTTGCCACCGGAGCGATACCTATTTATCTACTTGCACTTTGACGTGCTTTCGAACTGCTAGGTGGGCAGGAGCTGGGACTGAGCAACGGGAGCTCACCCTTATCGCGGGGATTCGAATCGTCGACCTTCTGATCTGCAAGTCCTAGGCTCTGTGGTTTAACCCACAGCGCCACACGCGTCCCTATGAGCTCTGTAGGCGGGACTTAAGATTCCTTCACCATTCTTGCATAGCAATAAATGAATAGCAGCAGCAGCAAAACAGCCACCACATCAATAATGTGGAAAGTCTCACCTCCAGTAGTACTTCCTTGTTCCTGTCTGCCATTTCAGAGGTTTCTCTTTTCCCTAGAAGATAATTCTGTAAGAGAGAGATTGAGATTTCAGCTGAAGCTTAGAATTCAGAAATGTAATCATCATAATATCCCTATGCTGATAAGGGTGCCGTTTCTGAGAATAACTTCTCCAGGTTTCCACAAAAAAACAACAACCTATAAACCAGAGAAGTTTTTTTATTTTATTTAAAGTACTTACACTCTTCTCGATTCGATCCAGATAACTGAATCTACATGTGCTTGCCAAATACCTGACCCAATCAGGACTCGGCTATATATACATTTCTGTAAAACCAAACGTTTACTCCCTTGGAGTCTTTGTGCAAGATATCTATGAAGCCTTTGATTGAAGTAATTAGGATGGGACTGGGCATCAAAGTTATTGGAATATTGTGGGTGGGGAATCTATAGAATATTTATGACAATCAAGATAAGCAATTTGGATTCAAAACCAATCTGTAGCATGGGACAAAGCAGAGATGTCTCTTGCTTATCCAGTTTATCTTGCCACAGAACCCCTAGGATGAAGGCTGAAGCAGAACCGGTCCATGAAATCAACATTATGAAGGAACAAATTCTTTTTGTGGGGGGATGCAGATGATGTCCAGACCTATTAAAACACCTCTCAAACTCAGAAAGGAGTCGGTTGTTTTTTTAAAAAGGTTGCTGGGCTTCGAATCAACTTTACTAAATCTGAAGTCGTGTTTTTTAACATTCCACTCCATTTAAGGTCCAAAGAGATTTATCTGGTATGCTGTTAATCCCTACATGTTACCATAATTTTCACCATTTGCATTCAAATATCTATAAATGTAAACAAACTTACTTTTATGGCAAACCGTGGAAAAGGATGGGAAAACTTTGAGAAAAAACGCCCTTCCTTAAACAACTCTGTTTATTTCAAATGCTCCTTACATCAGATAAAGAAATTGCAAAAAAAAAGTACACCAGTATGCGTTTGGCTCAAGAATACCCCAAATTTTGAAGGCTCTTATATACAAGCCAGCAAGTGAAGGGGGCTGGGGAATGTCCAATAGATCTCTATTTTAAGACTAAACATATAAGTCACATGGTTCCCATTGTGGCTGAGGACAGACAATGGGTAAAATTGGAGTCTGGGGAGACTGCCAGGGCTCTGCTTTTTGTTCATTCATTTTACAAACATAAATTTCAATCCTCAGAGTGGTCAAATAAGAGATTTACAAAAGTAACGCTTAAAGTTCCATCAAAGAGAACTGTGGTTTTAGTCCCAGAGAAAATTTATTAAAGAGAGATATTTCCACTATTGTGTGTATAATCTGTGTTTCATATATTAAAATATAGTAAGTGTCAGAAAGGTGCTCAGATGCGGGGGGGGGGGGGAGCAATATACTCACCTGGGGATTTTTGAAAAGTGCATATTTTTCTATACGTTCTACAAACATAAGTTTATTTTGACTGTCTCTTGTCCAGTTGAGGAGGTTTTCTACCAAGTTTTCATGGTCTTCAAAGATTCTCTCTGCGTAATAAACAAATCACATAATAAATATTCTAAGCTATAAACACAGGAGTGGGGTTTTTTTTGGGAGGGGGGGCAATGGTTTGCTGACTCATGACAAAAAGCAGTAATGACATGGTTAAATATATCTGATATATATGTGTCACCATTAGCCAGGAATCCTGCTTATCAGGACATGCAAATGTGGGCAATATAAACAAACAATGATTGTAATCCTATTTTATTTAAGCCAACAAGACCCCTGAAGTGGATTACCCAAATCAGTAGTAAGAGAGTCCCTGCCCTCGGCCTTTTAATCTAAAAATGGGGTTTACAGACTTAGGAAGACCAATGGAACTGGGTTTGTTTACTTGACTTTTTTTGCCATAGTATTTTCCACATGCAATTATGAGGAGTAGCCACATTAAGCACATCCAGTAATTCCATAGGTTTTTAATAAGAGATCACAAAAAGTACGTCAGGCCTTCACTAAAAGTCTTAGATGCCTGAAACGTTGTAACACATAGTTACATTAACATAATGTTGTAACATTAGGCTCCTCACGGGGTCTCTGCCATGGGAGCATATTCACCCAGTGCTTTTCCAGCTGCACTGGCTCCCGGTGGAGTACAGGGTCAGATTTAAGGTGCTGGTTTTGACCTTTAAAGCCCTTCATAGCCTAGGACCCTCGTACCTACGGGACCGCCTCTCCCGGTACGCCCCACGGAGAGCCTCAAGGTCCATAAATAGCAACACCCTAGTGGTCCTGGGCCTTAAGGAAGTTAGATTAGCTTCAACCAGAGCCAGGGCCTTTTCAACACTGGCTCCGGCTTGGTGGAACGCTCTGCCTCATGAGACCAGGGCCCTGCAGGATCTGATTTCTTTCCACAGGGTCTGTAAGACAGAGTTGTTCCACCTGGCCTTTGGCTTGGAGCCAATTTGATTCCCTCCCCCCTTTCTTTTCCTTTTCCTTTCTCCTCCTGTGATGAGGCTGCATTTTAACATTTTAATGTTTCAATATTTTAATGTTGTATTTTAATCTTGTTTTTAAGTTGTATTCATTCAACTTGTTTTTATTATTGCTTGTTAGCCGCCCTGAGCCCAGCCTTGGCTGGGGAGGGCAGGGTATAAATAAATATTATTATTATTATTATTATTAGGAAACTGAAAATTCAAATACCTGAGATTATGAATACAGAGCAAGTTAGCAAAGAGTTCTAAAACAGGAGCACGTATCGGTAAAATTCTGCATCCACTCGGCGCAAGAGACAGGAAGAAGCTGTATTTCAAGCTTTACTAACCCATTTGTAATTCTGAGATGGTTTCTACCAAAGACCAGTCTAAGCTAAAACCACAGTGGGACTTGTCCATCAAGTTGTCCAGCACTTGTCTTACTGTCTGTCGTTCATCGACCATCATTGTTTTGGAGCTGTCATCTGACATGTGGACTCTGATTACAAGCTGTATGTAGACAGAAGGAGATGGAGTTAAATCAGCCAGGCAGAAGTTGAAAACATAAAAGTAAATGCTAACATGTTCATGTTGATGTTTTTCTAATTAGTCCTATGTTGTTATCGATTAGCTTTAAAAGGCTATAAAATGGCAATCTGAATTAACCTTGCAACTAGCCAACATTTCTGGATTAATAAGTTGCTATTCTGTGAATAACTCCAATTCTCCTGTTGATTTCAGTGGAATTCAAGAGCAAGTTAAGTAACTGCAAACTAAGAAAGGCGCCAAGTCAAAAATTCATGAAATTACATGCATTTCATTACTGTTATCTCTCAGTAAAATCAGATAATAAGCTAGCTTGTGCCTATTTAGTTTTCATATTGTAGACATACTACCATAGTACTTTGTTTCAAAATGTGTTAAAATTTAAGACATATTTAGGAACTCTCCTTTTCACTACTCTATTCAGAATTTGAGAACTGATCAACTAGGGTGTGATACAAATGCAAACTGCACCACCAGATGAGAATATCACGCTAGAAAAATACACGATGTGAATACAACCACAGGGGAAAATATTTATGCCATATGTATGCAGTCCTCAACAGGGAACAAATATTTCAAAACAGACCCCCGCAACATATCAAGACTGACTTTGGATAATGCAAGACCTATAGTTTACCTTTTTAACTTGTGCTTCTTTAATCTTCTCTAAAGCAACCCTGATCTTTTCAGCCTTTAGCTTAGCAGCCTGTTCCTCCTGTGGGAGAAGAAAAGTTTGTTTAACCAACACTAAGCAAAGCTTAAACCACTGAAAAAGTTTTGAATACTGATTACCCAGAGGCAACAATCACTCAACTAAAACAGTATGATAACGTCTAGTACAGGCATAGGCAAACTCAGCCCTCCAGATGGTTTGAGACTACAACTCCCATCATCCCTTACCACTGGTCCTGTTAGCTAGGGATGATGGGAGTTGTAGTCCCAAAACATCTGGAGGGCTGAGTTTGCCTATGCCTGCTCTAGTAGAGTCACTTAAAGCAAACTACTATTTGTCATTTCCTTAACTCACCATTTTTCTCACCTGGTATTTTCATTATTTTTTTATGCTTCTTCTCCTATTCTTACTATTGCAACACCCTCCCAACAATACCCAGGTACAAGTTCTTTAATGGTTCTTCCATCCAAAGAGTTTTCTTGCTTCAAAATTACTTTTCTCTACTGTGAAAGATACCACCAACACAAATTCATCATTCCCCTCTTGATAAAAAGACATGCGCCATTCAAGTTAGTTTCACCTGACCTAAGCAGCTGCACATTTTTCTACGCAGTGGCATTTGTGCTGCACATTTCACCCTCCCGAGAAAGCTCTTTTGTATATGGATTTTCTCCTAGTCACATGTGGCTACTTTCAGCATCATCATTTTCAGTACAAAGAGCGGTGAAAAAGGCAACAGCTGCTGACAGCAACGGCCTTGGTTCACCAGCATTACAACCATCCTCAATGAAAGTAACAAGTAAGATGATAACAGCAAGAATAAATGAGGCCTGAACCGTTATCTGAATAGTCACTTAGGCAAGAAACAAAGAAGGTTATTAAGCTGGTGTAAGGATCTTCCTTAGATGGTTTCGTGCAGCTTGAAAAGTAAAACTGGAGTGGAACTTTTGAAGTATACTGTATTTTTCGCCCTATAGGACGCACTTTCCCCCCTCCAAAAATGAAGGGGAAATGTGTGTGCATCCTATGGGGCGAATGCAGGCTTTCGCTGAAGCCTGGAGAGCGAGAGGGGTTGGTGCACACCGACCCCTCTCACTCTCCAGGCTTCAGGAAGCTATCCGCAAGCGTTGGGAGCCCGCAGGAGTTCCCGCCGGGCTCCCAAGGCTTGCGAACAGCAGCCTGCAGCCCAAAACCCAGGGAGCGCTGAGCAGCGTGCCCTGGGCTTTGGGCAGATATCCGCAAGCCTGGGGAGACCAGCGGGAGTTCCCACCGGGCTCCCAAGGCTTGCAGATAGCAGCCTGTTCTGGGGGCTGGGGTTGGGGGAAGCTCGGGCTTCCCCCGCCCCATGCCTGGGGGGGGAATATATTTTTTTTCTTTATTCCCCCCCCTAAAAAACACCTAGGTGCGCCCTATAGGGTGAAAAATACGGTAACTCTTGCAAGCATCTAAATGTTGTTGCCTTTTGGGGGGTGATGGGGTGATTTAAACACCCTGGAAAACTGTAGTCCTCCCTTAACTCACTTAAATACCCACGGTTTCACATTGGTTGTAGGGTCATGTTTCATTTGGTCTCAAACTATATAGCTATTGGCCGTCCTATCTAGAAAGTCAAACCCAGTTAGATCGGCTCTTGCACGTGACAAGTTATAGCTTATAACCAGTAACTATTTCAAGAGACTGTTATGGTTAGATTAGACTGGCCTACTTCTGCATGTCTCCTTTTCTTCTGTCTACTAATAACACAAGCAAAAAGCCATTAGAAGGACCAGCTGCTTTACACAGAAAAAGACAAGGCTATAAATGGAAGCAAATATTGAAGGTTAGCAACTTAATTATGAAAGGTTGGCAGCGTTGGCAAGACAGAGAGAACTTATAAAAAGCTTATGCTTATTTTCCGATTTCCATTAAAAAGAGCCCCATAAGCCGCCTCTCAAAATATGTACTAAAACACACCTGCTGCAAATGCAGAGGTTGCTGAGAGAAGGGACTTACTGGAAAGTTCAGTCCTGCAGCCTTAAATTGAAAGAGAGGGAGGCTCAAATTCTATGCTGAGTGCCAGGAGGCACACAAAACTAGAAATGAGGTGGACCAGGCAGCAACTTTTTCTTAGCAAATAAGAATTATAGCCCACTGTACGATTTGCAGCATATGTAGAAATGTACGCACACCTGACCTGCACAAGCAGACCAAACTGTGCTTTCGAAAAGGCAGCTACATGTCTGCTAAATGATTTGAGGAGCCCAGCTGGCAGCTGGGAAAAGTGTCAAATGAGGAGTGCTCCAGCTGAAGGGTCAAGTCTTTATCTCCCAGTTCATTCAATGAGCAATATTTTTTAAAAACGGTTGCAATTATAGAAAACCAAGCCTTCTATCTTGAGAAAATTTACTGAATCCTATAATGAGTTGCTAAGGGATGCGGGTGGCGCTGTGGGTTAAACCACAGAGCCTAGGGCTTGCTGATCAGAAGGTTGCTGGTTCGAATCCCCGCGACGGGGTGAGCTCCCGTTGTTTGGTCCCAGCTCCTGCCAACCTAGCAGTTCGAAAGCACACCAGTGCAAGTAGATAAATAGGTACCGCTCCAGCGGGAAGGTAAACGGCATTTCCGTGCACTGCTCTGGTTCGCCAGAAGCGGCTTAGTCATGCTGGCCACATGACCCGGAAGCTGTACGCTGGCTCCCTCGGCCAATAAAGCGAGATGAGCGCCGCAACCCCAGAGTCGGTCACGACTGGACCTAATGGTTAGGGGTCCCTTTACCTTTACAATGAGTTGCTACAAGAAAAGTTAACACGGCATTTAGCAATCAGCAAGCCATGCCACACACAAAAACTGCCTCCCAACTGGTTTACAGCACTGAGCCCAACCCACAGGTCAGAGAACGGCAACCACCTTAAAAACGAATTGAGAGCGGGTGGCATATAACAGGACTGGTGGGCTCTGCCATTATTTGAGAAAGAGAAGATACAAAATTTGGTGCGAGCACTCCTCTTTTGGGACCCACATGCTGGCATGACTTCTGACTTTTTGCCTAAAATAAGTCTCCACGTCAATTAACATGGTGGGAAGGGTGAAAGCAGGTCACATGGTGAACCGCCTCTTAAATCTGGATAAATTCCAATTCTTCATTCCGCACTTCAGATGATCTTTGGGGGGAAATTATACTGTCAAATTTTTGAAGACATAAATTTCTTTAAAATTGTTGTAGGGTTTTTAAAAAATTCTATTTTATTGTTTTTACAAGTTTTTAACTGTTTCAAATTATGCTTTATTTTATTTTAAACTGTATTCAGTTAATACAATTAATTTATGCCCTGGGCTCCTTGTGGAGGAAGGGTAGGATACAGTTTTAATATAAATCAATAAACTTGCTTTGTGCTTACTAGGGCCAGTGAAATGTATTTCACGGTTTAGAAAGATGGAAAGTGTGTTGAAAGAAGGTGCTGTAGAAGTAAAACCAAAGTGTAAGCATTATAACTAACAAGTGTGCAGGCCAAATAGCACACCCGCCCCAGTCAGATCAGGGCCTCCACAATGCCTCAAGTTACTCTGTGGCTTGCATACTCTTCTCGCTCTTTCTATATGAGTGTTCCTATATTTTCTATATATGAGTGTTCACCTAGCTTTTCAAGAAGCGAGGCTGACCAAGTCAGTAGAGTGCTGAAGATCTCTGATTATTATTATTATTATTTATTTAAAATGTTAAAGCACAGTAGTGGAAGAATTTTAAAAAAATTAAAAACCTTTTAAGGTTCAAATGTACATTGCTCTGCCTTAACGAAGAACAATAACCCAGAAATCTTCAGAACTCTGCTGGCAGTTTTAGATCCCCCTTCATAGTGAACAGAAAACAGGAAAGCTTCATTTCATCATTTCAGAGTGGCTTCGAACTTGCATGACAGATTGAAGTGCAGAGACCACAGAGCAATTCAAACACATTGGATTTTTTTTTTAAAATGCAGATACGGTGGTACCTCTGGTTGCGAACGGGATCCGTTCTGGAGCCCCGTTCGCAACCTGACCAGAATGCAACCTGTGTCTGCGGGTTGCGATTTGCTGCATCTCCACATGCGCGAGTGGCGAAACCCAGAAGTAACCCGTTCCGTTACTTCCGGGTCGCCACGGGACGCAACCTGAAAACGCTCAACCTGAAGCGTCTTTAACCCGAGGTATGACTGTATACATGAAAGTCAAAGAATGGGATCCATGAACACCCCTACTAAAAAGCACCCTGTTTTGCAGTCTTCTCCCCTAACTAAGCTAAGAAAAAACTTCCAACTCCAGAACTGTGCTTGCAGTTTAGTAAACCAAAACTTACTAAAGATGCCAAAATATGTCAAAAGGTCTCTTTTATCCTTTGGCCAAGTTATTTCTTAGGCACTGAGATGCAAGAAGGAACAATGTAAACATATGTCTAATTACTACTTATGCAGGGATGCTTTCCAAGTTCTTTTATTAGCACGGCTTGTGCTAAACAGTGCCAAAATCAAAGCAACTACGAAATCTGTTCCATGAATCGAAATGGAATTGAGCCTCTTTTCTCATCTACCAAAACTGCTTGTGAAGCTTAGAGGAGGTTCACAACCAGTCTGAGATTGTAGGGCAGGGGCAGCCCGCAGAGTGCCCCTCATGTGTTGCTGGATCCCAACGCTCATCAATCCAAGCCAGCATGGACAATACTCAGGGATGATGGGAGATGCAATCCAACATCTGGAGGGAACCTGGTTGACTAATCTGGTCTAGGGAACCAGCACTTAAAAATAAAATAAAAACTTCTACTGGCCTAGCAGAGGCCCCTTGGTATAACTCTATGCCAGAGCTTTCCAAACTTTGCATGGTCGATGACACACTTTTAAAAGACATGCATCATTTCATGACACAGTAATTCAGTTTTACTAGCAAACCGGAGGTTAAACAAACCCCTTTCCATCCCTGGGAGGAGCACAGGGAGCATCGGCGTGACATACCTACACAGCGCAACTGACACATTAACATGTCGTGACACACAGTCTGGAAAGCTCTGCTTTATGCCGTTCTTTGGATACTGCCCATTAACTATAAATGGCTGATAATTCAAAAGATCTGATATTCAATACAAAGCTATTAATTCTACAATGGACTGTTAACTTCTATTCTGCTGCTCCAAACTTTCCTCTTAGATGATACCACACAGTATTTTCTCTTGAAACAGATCCAACTCTTTAGGGGTACATGGTTACAGGTAGCCAGTTACGACTTTATTATTTTACCAACTCAGAAAACATAGGACATAAAACTCCATCACTAGAACATAATGTTTTTAAAAAATAATAGTTCAATTTACAACATTGTTAAAATAGATGCCATAAATAATTGCTTCTAGGCATATATTCAAAAGAGAAAATGCTTCTTAAACATAGGAGGCTTCCATAGCAAAATAGCAGCTTAGTGAATCAACATTTTCATTGAGCTTTCTTTTTTCTTTTTTTTTACTCCATAGGCATGCAAGAACAAGCATTGAAATGTTTTGTTAAAACACAGTTTTAAACTGTGCCACTACTTAAGTTGCATGGGCTAAAAAAAGAAAGATTTCTAAACCAGAGATTGTGAAGTAGCAGAAAATGACTTTTGTTCTGGACTGCTAGCTCAATTTGCTACAAAGCGACAGTGCGCTAATGATCTTTGCTAATTGTGGTAATGGTATTTAATTCCTCATTGCAGAGAAGAGTATTATCTTACTGATCCACTAACTATGCAGTCCAATTCTGGACATCTAAGCTAGCCTAGGATGTTGTACTAAATCTGTTGATATACCAGGGCAGGCACTGTATTTCCTGAGGGCAGTTTTCATTACTCCAGGAAAAACTATTCGTTCCGCTATAAAGCATTAACACACCAGATTTTAAGACTATTTCGTCAATAGTTATCATTCACCCCCTATGGTTTAATACATTCCAAACAAATTTGGCTTTAGTTACACATTGAAATTGCGATTGCCAACAGCAGCAAATTCAGAGACTGAATTTGGAAGGGTGGTGCGAATAAGCAGTAATACATTGTCAAGAATGCCAATGTTATCGATAGCTTGTTTGCAAGCAAAAGCTAAATTTTAAGGTGGATAATGTTGATGGAGAAGCCAGGTGCTCTGGTGATGAGGATCAGCTTCTGAACAGTCTAAAGAGTCTCCTTAAAACAAGCAGCGGCCATGAGCAGGAGTATCTTTTAGCAACTCTACATTAGTTGAGTCTCCTGTTAGGAATGGATCATTCATGCTTTTGTGCTCTCTAGAATAGATTACCGTAACATGGTCTTATGTGGTGCTATACCTCTAAGGCTATTTGGGAGCTGCAGGTCTTGTAGAATATCACAGCCAACCTCTTGCCTATTGTGGTAAGATGATAGCATATCTAACCAGAACTGATTAAACCACCTTCCTGGAACTGCCATCTAGCCAGTAAGATCAAATGGCAGGGACTTGTCTCCATCACAGAGAGTATATCAAACATAAGCAAAATTTATAGATTTGTGGTTTCCACTTCTTGGTTTCCTGTGCTAATTTGCAATGCTAATTTGCAACGAGTCACAAGCTCACTTTGGCCTGTTTCCAGAAGCAGTGAGAAATCATGGTTTTCTCATTTGTAAATAAAGATGCAGCAAGCCTTAGGCACTTGTCCTCTTCCTTTTGAGTGCCAGGAGAACACTGAAAACTTTCACTTCCTGTTTTTAAGCCAACTATAGTTTCTTGTCCAAATGCAGGGAACTGCAATTTGTTTAAACTACGGATAATGAGAATGGGGAAGAGATCTGAAAATGGGGAAGTTTCATTCCAACTGGTTCTTGCGAACCACAGTTCGGATGTCACAGAGAACTGTATTTATTTTTGAAATGGGAACAGAAGCTGCCAACTTCCTGCTCCTGTGAAAGGCAAGTCAAGAGAAGAATGTGTTAGGCTATGGCTTGTTCACGTGGCAGGAAATTACGGTCTCCCATGACATCTGAACTAGGTCTTTCAATTTGAAAGCATCAAAGAAGCAGCACAGATATTGAGGTTCTCTTTTTCCCCAGTTGCTTCAAATTATTTTGAGTATGTCGCTTTGCAAATTCATTACTCAAATCTCTCTACAATTTTAGTTTTTCTATCTTTCTAGCAAGTATCGACAAAAGTTTATGTAATCACCAACAGTAATCACTAGCATCCTATCAAAAACTTTCCCTCACAGAGCCAAGTGGTGCCATTTTCTCTCTAGAACAGCTTTCCCAAGTCGTAGGTTCCTATATGCTGTTGGATTACAAACAATCACATCCTCAGCTAGCTTGGCCAATGGCCAAGGATGAGTTGGGTTGTAGCCAGTCAACATCTGTAGACTCAAGGTTGGCAAAGGCTGCTCTAGAAGAATTAAAATAAAATGTTTTTCATCTAATCAATCATGATTTTATTTACAGCTTTGCTGCTTAATTGATTTTAATCATGCTTCCATAAGCAGCCTTCACCTGTTGATAAACAGGAATCAGGAGCAGCTGAGGAATTATGGTTTTCTACTGTAATAATAATTTACAAAAGAAATGAAGAATGGGGAAATGGGTTAGAAGCATGACGGTGCCTTATGTGCATTTTCTTAAACCAATTGTTAGGAACCTACAGTAGTTGAAGGTTATGTGCCATACAAGTTTCAACATACAAGTTTTGTATGGAATCTGGATAACATCTGATTTTATTATTAGTTATTAAATTGATATACCGCCCTTCATCCAAGGATCACAGAATCACAGAACTGTAGAGTTGGAAGGCACAACCATGGTCATCTAGTTCAACCAGTCTTTTGCCCAACATGGGGCTTGAACCCACAACCCAGAGAGTTAGAGTTTCATGCTCTACTGATTGAGTTATCCACAGGGAGGTTTACAGTATATTTATGGCTTTAATTAAGAAACAATTTTCTGCTGCAATTGTGAATTTGGTTTTCAGAAGAAGAATGAAGAGCTAATGATAGAAAACAAATTTAGGGGGTGACGCCTGGGTTCACTTCCTACCTTGTGGCTCTCAGTCATGTTCCCTGCCTTTTAAACTTTAATTTGCCACACCGCCAAAATATATATATATATATTTGGAAAGATTCAAAAACTGGGTTTAGAAAGAAGCACATAACTGGAGCAAACACTTTATACTGAAATGTACTAATTTCAGTAATTTTATTCTAAGGATGGAAATAGTGCAGGTTGTAAATTTCGGGAGTGGAGGGAACCCATCAAATATGACGAGGTCAGCTACTAGAAATGCTCTTTCCAAGGTTATTATGGAGAGAGAGAAATCAAAAGTAAACAGGTTCTTTATTGTGGCACAACATGAATTTGATATTTTTGATGTTTTCTTAAATTTTCAATTTCAACTGATTTTTGGCAACATGGACAATGAGCATCTTAACATGCCCTACTGCTCCGAGGGCATCCTTTGAAATATCTTAGTTTGTAATAGACTGATTTTAGGAAAGGACATTTGAATAATTCCAGCCTTCCTCATCCAAAGGTATTTTAAAATGAAGTGCCTCTGCTCCAACCAGAGGAAAAGTCATTCTCTCAACCACCACAAGCTACTGGAAGCAAAGTCCAAATTCACACACACAAACATCAACCAGGAATGCCATTCTATGAATGCCATTCTATCTACCAGGAAATGGTCACATGCAGGTGGGAAATAGTAGTTATCACCTTGGTCAGCAAATGAGAAGGCTTTCCTGCAATGTTTCTCAGAAGAAGGGAGGTTTCCCTGTCCAAATAGGAATGCTTGTGCAGAAAAGAAAAGAAAGAAAGAAATTAAGTCAAAAAGAAAGTCAGTACAGTAATTTTATAGTGTATGATTAGCAGCAGACAGGTGCAACTTTTCCTCTTTACATCAGAAGCACTTCGATAATAGTTCCAGATGTATTTTAAGCGGCAAATAGGCAAGTGAGTGATCAGGATATATACTTTTTGCATGTTTGCAAAACTCCTTTTTTTAAAAATCCGTGGCCAATTCTCATTTTGCGTGCCCTACTTGTTAGCAATTCTACAAAAGTATTACAGAATTAACTATTATGCAAGTACACTACTTCTTGATATCAGTGCATCCTGTTCGACCAATTAAGAATATTAATACAGGCTGAAAACTTCCTCTTGCATTCAAAGCTGCTTAATAATAATATAAAAGCGACACATTTTCACACATTTGCCAGGTGCTTCTCAACATACCAAACTTCTCAACTGACTGGCGCATTACAACAAAGCAAGTCATGAAAACACTTTGGTCGTTCAAAGGTTTATTAAAGAAAGGACAGGTCAGTAGCAATGACTTTTGTGGTAATGGACTACAGGCGCCACCCAGTTTTGACTGTTTTCACCTTTATTATGCCACACTATTATGGAAGCCTCTTCCAAGTCCTTGGGTTGTCCCTGCTGTATGGTAGGATTCACCTAGAACCAATTGTGAGATGTTCCTCTTCTGTAAGGGACGCGGGTGGCACTGTGGATAAAGCCTCAGTGCCTAGGACTTGCCGATCGTCAGGTCGGCGGTTCGAATCCCCGCGGCGGGGTGCGCTCCCGTCATTCGGTCCCAGCGCCTGCCAACCTAGCAGTTCGAAAGCACCCCCGGGTGCAAGTAGATAAATAGGGACCGCTTACCAGCGGGAAGGTAAACGGCGTTTCCGTGTGCTGTGCTGGCTCGCCAGATGCAGCTTGTCACGCTGGCCACGTGACCCGGAAGTGTCTGCGGACAGCGCTGGCCCCCGGCCTCTTAAGTGAGATGGGTGCACAACCCTAGAGTCGGACACGACTGGCCCGTACGGGCAGGGGTACCTTTACCTTTTACCTCTTCTGTAAAAGGTGACTGAAGGCAATACATACACAGGGTTCATCCTCACAATCCTTTGCTCCCATCATAGCTGCAGTTTTTTGTGAGTGCAGTTAAACCACAGATTTAGGTGGTTGTTATGTAAACCTTATCTGTAGCTGCTGGGCACACACTGAGCTAAGCCTAGATGAGGTTTGAGCACACAAAATAAATCTGTTTCATAAACCTAGTCAAACTATTTTGATTCATAGAACCGAGCAAAGGCTAAAGTCAATTTTATTTAAAATTCTAACTCACTCTTCTAGCGACCATGCACCGTTCAAGGTGTCTTACAACTGTTAAAAATCATAGTATCTGTTCACTGTACAGGGACGCGGGTGGCGCTGTGGGTAAAAGCCTCAGCGCCTAGGGCTTGCCGATCGAAAGGTCGGCGGTTCGAATCCCCGCGGCGGGGTGCGCTCCCGTTGCTCGGTCCCAGCGCCTGCCAACCTAGCAGTTCGAAAGCATCCCCGGGTGCAAGTAGATAAATAGGGACCGCTTACTAGCGGCGTTCCGTGTGCTGCGCTGGCTCGCCAGATGCAGTTTTGTCACGCTGGCCACATGACCCGGAAGTGTCTTCGGACAGCGCTGGCCCCCGGCCTTTTGAGTGAGATGGACGCACAACCCTAGAGTCTGTCAAGACTGGCCCGTACGGGCAGGGGTACCTTTACCTTTTTATCTGTTCACTGCAGGACTTTGAGGATGATTTTTCAATCATGTGCAGTCTCTGATTTTGCTATTGTTAATCATATCACTACCTCCGGCTTCATTTGGTTTCTTAACTATCCTAAGATGTTTTGGATAGAGTGAGTTGTGGTGTTCTGTGCTCTTCTAGAAACCTGAGACTCAGCTACATTAGGAAAGAAACAACGATCTGAATGCGCTATAAACATGCAACACCAGATGGTGCTAGAGGGAAGGAAATTTTTATATGTGCTTTTCCAAAGGTTTTTTGTTTATGTGTTATAACGATCTAATTTCTGACTTATTTATAGCGTGTCCCCCCTCCCCCCCCCGTGTAGATCCACCCATGGAATGGCTAGAACAAGACAGTCCCTTCCTCACCAAGAAAAGGGCGAGGGTATCTGGCACCTGCACAGACCACTGCAATTAGCGCTAGGTTTCTGGGTCCTATTCAGCTACAGCATTGCAAGAGGGGAGGAAGGACAGAGAAACGAGGAGAAAAACAACGTAAGAGTGGCAATAGTTGTTTTTACAAGCCATACTAAACCATAGCTTAGTGCAATGTGCATGACAAATGAGTTTTGGATGTTTAGCCTGCATACATAGATGGGAGGTGTTCAGAAGGATTCACTTCTACTTAAAATCACAGCTTGCAGTATTATTTCTACCAATAACTGTGGTCAACTATGTTAGCTTAAGCAAGCCAGAAATCATTGAAGCCAGCTTGTTTTGTGGTATGTATAGCTCATATTAAACTGGGTTGTGGCTTGGTGTCAGGTGCTGAAATTAAATATTCTCATTAGAAAGTGCTACCCATCCTACATACATTAAGCAAAATAGAAACATCACCACTTGACCCCCCCATCTCCCCCCCCCAATGTCTCAACAAATGAAACTGATTTGTAAAAATGTTACATGGAAAAAATACGAGACACGTTACACATACTTCTGTAAAACGAAAATCTTTAATAAAAAAAAAGTTAAAAAAAGAAAATGCTACCCATTGGTTGCTTGGTTGAAAGTTGCTTCAGGTTACTTTGGGCAAGATAAAGCAACTAATGGATTGATTGATTGATTGATTGAATGAATGAATGAATGAATGAATAAATAAAAAGTGTGGACTGCCAATGTGCTATCAGAAGCAGCATCCTGTATCAATAGATTTTATCCATTTACAAAGCACAAAGAAAGGCCAGCCAACCGCCATGTAGCATTTTTTACTATGGACATCCCGGCCAATGAATCCCTGCTTCACATGGATTCTCCTTTGGTTGATGTTACCGAATGATATTCTAATACACAGAAAAATGATCACCTATGAGACAAGAGTCTTCTTGCATAATCTTTTTTGGGAGGACCTGGAACCCCATTCAAAAAGGAATTCATACATGGACACCTGGAAATCTATGAAGCAAGGTTTTATGTAAACCACTTGGAAACTATTTTGGCATTTAAGCCGCATATGTGTTATTATAATAACCCAAATTATTGTTTAATACAAGAAAACAAAATATACCTTAAAAGGTAAGGCTTACTACTAGAACAACAGAGATGTTAAAAAGAAGTTTAAAACTCTCAAAGCCTATTGAACTTAGCAAATTCAGTCGAAGGGTTCAAATGATATTTTAAGTATGTGTAGCTGGTGGATCATGTTGCTGAACACAGGTACAGAATTCAGATTAAAAACACAGAGCCTCTTATACTTAACAATAAGAGGGAGCCTTTCTATAAAATTGCAAATACCTACTCACAAGACAGAACAGCTTCTTATAGCTTAAAGCAAGTTTCAAGTTTTCACAGTTACAAGTGTAATTCAGAAATTGCCAAATCCAGTTTGAAATTATTTATTACATTTTAGAATTACCCCTCAACCCAAATATTCTCAAAGTGGTATACAACGTTGCTATAGCAGTTAGCAACCTACTTTCTCATCCCAACCATAAGTGGGTATGCGAAAGATTATGCTACCATGAGATTCTCTTATCGTATCTCTGACGAAACTGTAACAGAACATGCTTTTCTTTTCTATGAAGAAGTTCCTTCTACATGCAACTGTAAAACTACCACATAACCATCAAAGTATTGTATAATAGCCAACAGCAAGAGTGATGATCCAAAAAGCGCTGGTCTAGCTGAGAATAAGGTTTTCCAAAATATATATCTCTTTCTATCTTAGTATGCAACTAGCGTGTGTGTGTGTGTGTGTGTGTGTGTAGGCATTCTAGTCATTTATAGAGGTAGTAAATTTAGATAATAAATTTTATACCTAGTCTAGGCAGCAGGTGGCAATATTGTGCAATTGATAATTAATGAAGACACAATTGTTTTTTAGTCCTGCATTACAAAACATTCTCACAGAGCAGATAGGGATATAACTCAGAGCTTTAAAGATATTTTTTTTGTAAGTTCAGGCAATTATTAGGCTAAGATATTATTGTCCAAATTTGTCCCATGTCTTTGATTCTAAGACAAAGATATTGTACTAAGTTTCTATAGATTTTTAACCAGAACAGTCCAGTAGTTCTGATTCACACCATCAGTGTGGTTGATTTAACTGAGATTAGAAGTCCTAGTGTTACTGTACCCTGAAACCTTATGGGGGTTTATAGATTTTCTCAAGCACTGCTTACACCAATATGAACTTTCCCATCATCTAGACCAGGCTTCCTCAACCTCGGCCCTCCAGATGTTTCGAGACTACAATTCCCATCATCCCTGACCATTGTCCTGCTAGCTAGGCATCATGGGAGTTGTAGGCCAAAAACATCTAGAGGGCCGAGTTTGAGGAAGCCTGATCTAGACCCCTTCTCAAAGTGTCCCATCTACTGATGTCAGGCACCAGAAGACCCAAGCAGCCTACGGGACCGCCTCCCCCGGTACGCCCCACGGAGAGCCTCAAGGTCCATAAATAGCAACACCCTAGTGGTCCTGGGCCCTAAGGAAGTTACATTAGCTTCAACCAGAGCCAGGGCCTTTTCAACACTGGCTCCTCCCTGGTGGAACGCTCTGCCTCATGAGACCAGGGGCCTGCAGGATCTGATTTCTTTCCGCAGGGCCTGTAAGACAGAGTTGTTCCGCCTGGCCTTTGGCTTGGAGCCAATTTGATTCCCTCCCTCTCTTTTTTCTTTTCCTTCTCCTCCTGCGAGGAGGCTACATTTTAATATTTTAATGTTTCAATATTTTAATGTTGTATTTTAATTTTTTTAAAGTTGTAATCATTCAACTTGCTTTTATTATTGCTTGTAAGCCGCTCTGAGCCTGGCCTTGGCTGGGGAGGGCAGGGTATAAATAAAAAATTATTATTATTATTATTAAGCCCTTTTCAGGAGCAGCACCTCAGGTGTGGATGCTCTCTCTAAACCTGTGTGTGCTCAAGCACCTAACTCTTTGAAGTTTTAGGGGCCAGTTTTCATTTGTCCAGGCCTTTTAGTTCAGTTCCTTGTTTTACTGCTGCCTCTGTAGTTTTAATGTTTTACCTGCTGCTGTCTAGGATTTTCATTTAGTTTTAATGTTGCCTGCTGGTTTCACGCTATTTGGCTGGGGAGGGCGGGGTATAAATAAAAAATTATTATTATTATTATTATTAGTGACTTTATTTTGAATGTTTTATTGGAAATGTAAAGTGTTCTATTGGAAATGTAAGGAGGCTGAAGGGACATTCTTTCACCTCTGGTGGACTTGTCCAAAAGTGAAGGCCTTCTGGGAAATGATCTATAATGAGCTAAAAAGGTATTTAGGTATACCTTTCCCAAGAAACCAGAGGCCTTCCTCCTGGGCATTGTCGGCCAGAAGGTGTTAAAGAAGGATAGAACTTTTTTAATGCATGCAACTACAGCAGCAAGAATCCTTATTGCAAAACATTGGAAGACACAAGATCTACCCACGCTGGAAGAGTGGCAGATGCAATTGATGGATTATATGGAACTGGCTGAAATGACTGGCAGAATCCGAGATTTGGGAGAAGAAACGGTGGAAGAGGACTGGAAAAAATTTAAGGACTATTTACAAAAATACTACAAGTTGTATGAATGTTAAAAACTGCACGATTTGGAAGTTTTAGCTCCAGCAATTAGATTTCAGAAACAGGAAATTAAGTTAAAAATAAGAAAAGGATGAAATTTAAAGTATTACTAAGGTTGATTTAAGGTACAAGTAAACTGACAAAAAGTATTTTAAATTTAAAATATTTGAAAGGTACAAAATAAGATGTGAAAAAGGTAATAATTTGCTGACATTTTTATGGTAAAGAATGCATGGTAGGGGAGATGTGAGGAAGTCCGGTTGGTTATGTATAAATATTCCTGAAAATTGGATTTTTTTCTTTTTTCTTTATTTGTTTCTTTTATTTCTTTTGTATGACTTTTATATCTCTGTTTATGTATTTGAAAATGTAATAAAAAATATTTTTTTAAAAAAAATATTTTGAATGTTTTAATGTTTATTCTTTTTCGTTTTCAAGTTTAATTTTGATGAGGCAGGGCATACATTTATCAGATTTATAAAAAGAATCAGCATGATGCAACTCTGAGAATGGATGTAGAATGTTGCATCTTCCACACTGCTGCTTTGTAAATGCAACTTGTAATGGAATCAGCATTGCAAATTTTCTCATACGTTGTACACTGAGGAAACTAACACACAGAGACACACAGGTAAGCACCCCACTAAGAACTTACAGGCGCCAATTCAGCCTCTTCTTCAGAAAAGTCAATGCGACGTCTGGCTTGCTTGCTGGAATGTTCCACAGAAACAATATGCTGTGAAAATGTCAGAGGAAAAGGATGGGGAAGGGCAAAGGAGAAAGGGGTGGTGGAAGGAACTATTTATTAACATGCAGGACAGGGGCAAGGAGCGGCAATATGAATTAAAATATATTGAACATTGAGCACCTTTGCAGACCCTGTGAGATTAGCCATTTCAGAGAAGATAAGCATGTATTTTCTCCTGCTGCACAGCTTTACTAATAAACAAGTCTGCAGTTACATTCTATATGGAGACAGATTAGTTGGCAGACCAACTTTGTGTTATGAAGATGTTTGCAAATGTGACACGAAGACTGGAAACAGAAACTGTGCCTCGTAGGAATCCCTTGCAGATGAACACACTGCCTGGAAACCGTCAGGTCGTGTATCCACAGCAGTGAGCAGAGGAGAAATTACCGTATTTTTCGCCCTATAGGACGCACTTTTCCCCCTCCAAAAATGAAGGGGAAATCTGGGTGCGTCCTATGGGGCGAATGCAGGCTTTCGCTGAAGCTTGGAGAGCGAGAGGGGTCAGTGTGCACCGACCCCTCTCGCTCTCCAGGCTTCAGGAAGACATCCGCAGCCTAGGCAGCCCTGCGGGAGGTCCCGCAGGGCTGTCTAGGTTGCGGATAGCAGCCTGCTTCCCGGAGTGTTGGGCGCCCTGAAGGGAGAGCGCCCGGCGCTTCGGGAACACATCTGCAACCTAGGCAGCCCTGCGGGAGGTCCCACAGGGCTATCTAGGCTGCGGATAGCAGCCTGCTTCCCGGAGCGTCGGCCGCCCTGAAAGCAGAGCGCCCGGCGCTTCGGGAACACACACGCAGCCTAGGCAGCCCTGCGGGAGGTCCCGCAGGGCTGTCTAGGCTGCGGAAAGCAGTCTGCCGCCCAGCGGGCGGGGCGCCCTGAAGCAGGGCGCCCCTCGCGCTGGGCAGACATCGGCCAGCCCCACAAGCTCGGGGGACAGCAGGGAGGCGCAGCGCCACCATCCCGCTGTTCCTCGACCTGGTTCGGTTTCCCCGACCTGCTTTTGGGGGGGAAATAAAGGAAAAAAATTTCCCCTTTATTTCCCCCCCAAAAAACTAGGTGCGTCCTATGGGACGGAGCGTCCTATGGGACGAAAAATACGGTACTGCTGGGAAGACCACAGAGGGAAGAAATGCCACGGTGCACCTGTCCCAGTGAAATCAGATGCCCTCATCTGACCCACCTGCAATAAAACATGCCTCTCCCATATTGGTCTGTAAAACAGCCACAGCAGGCACTGTAACTCTCCAATGGAGAACGCTTCCATTGTCTCGAGACAGACTGATACCAACAGGAGAGTAGTCAAATTGTGGAGAAAACTATTATCTCACTGGTGTAAGCTGTTGCTGTCTTTACAACACCTTTCAATTTTTAAGATAAAATGTTGGCAATCCTACAGACCAAATGGGAGTAAATCCCTTCACAGCCAGTGAGACTTATTTCTGAGTAAATGTGTATAGCATTGGATTGTACATGGGAATTTCAATTAAAATATTTAGGTCTGAGTGTAAAGAACATAGGGTTCTAATGCTGTGTTGAAGAATTTGTTTGGTATTAGGCTACACCAGAAATGCATCATCAAAAACCAAAATGTATCACTTAATTTGCAAATATTTTAACCTACAGCTTCTCTATGTTTTTACTGTGTTACACTACTTCTGCAGCAGATTCTAAATTGTTTATAGCCATGTTAGCTTTTAGATGCATTTGTCAGCTCCATTATTTGTAAGATTGCTAGCTTTGTAGAAAAAGCAAATGCAAACAATTAATAGCTCACCCCAAACGCACAAACATTAGTTTTGTAACTCCTTTCCGAGTAAGACCTGCCTAAATAAAAATAAATTATCTGACACCAGAAAATCACCTTCTGGTGACTTTCTGATGATGGATAAATCTCTTTTTATTTAGACAGGTTTTCCACCTGCTGCTGTAGGTGAATCTTTTTAGCTGGAGTGGTCCACTTTTTACCAGCTTGTTTCAAATACCACTTTTCTTTTAAAGGCTTGTTTTATATTGCTTTTATCTCATTTGGGTGCCATTATATAGATATATATAAGGGATGCGGGTGGCGCTGTGGGTTAAACCACAGAACCTAGGACTTGCCAATCAGAAGGTTGGCGGTTCGAATCCCCGCGACGGGGTGAGCTCCCGTTGCTCGGTCCCTGCTCCTGCCAACCTAGCAGTTCGAAAGCACATCAAAGTGCAAGTAGATAAATAGGTACTGCTCCGGTGGGAAGGTAAACGGCATTTCCGTGCGCTGCTCTGGTTCGCCTGAAGCGGCTTAGTCACGCTGGCCACATGACCCGGAAGCTGTATGCCGGCTCCCAAGGTCAATAAAGCGAGATGAGTGCCGCAACCCCAGAGTCGGCCACGACTGGACCTAATGGTCAGGGATCCCTTTACCTTTATATAGATATATGGGACACAAATTTTAAAATATTAAATAGATTTGCACTTATGCGATTTATATTTCACTACAGTTGACGGCCACAGAATGCTCCATTTGCAATTTCTGTTTTGAAAAGAACTGTTATTTTCTAGGTATGTTGTGGAAGTAATTGGTTAAAGCAGTACCTGTGATGTGGTTGGACGGTGCCACTGAGACATCATCCTGAAAACAAAGTCCCTACATCTTACCAGAATGGGGATGACTATACTGACAGAACCTCGCTTTCACCCTGTCCTGTCCAGGTAAACTGAAGCAACACCAATGTTGTGAGGTCACCACAAGGATTACCACTTGTTAAAAATTATTCTGCTGACTACTTATGGAACAGCTGAGAAATATCCATCACATTCTGTTTACCAAGTCAAGCTATAGAGAGTTTGATAATTAGCGATTCTGAGCAGATAAATAAGGGGGTGGGGAATCTCTGCAGCATCCATGGTAGTTTCCAGACTATTGCTATATTCCATTCTGCCTTTTTGCTCCCACAGGTTATGGCCAGGTTCATATGGAATGCTAAAACCAGGCATTCGTTTCAAACAGGTAATAGTTAATTAAATAAGCCAGCTTCATAACCCATGGCTTGAATTAACCTGTTTAGAAACCGAGTGCTGTTTGTGTTTTAAATTAGGATCCCTGCTTCATTCACAAAGCTAAACTGCGATTCTTTGAAAGCAACATTCAATTCAACAGAGGTCCTCCCCTCCTGCTCATGCAGAAGGGAAGAGGGATGAGGGGGAAGTGTGCAAGCCATGGGATTTAAATGGGTTCATAGAGGCTTATTCATATTAAGTATGTGACTGTGGCCTATGAACCAATATATATAAATGGGGATGGAGGAAAATAATTATTGTTGTTGTTTAGTCATTTAGTCGTGTCCGACTCTTCGTGACCCCATGGACCAGAGCACGCCAGGCGCTTCTGTCCTCCACTGCCTCCTGCAGTTTGGTCAACTGGAGGAAAATAATGGAGAATATGAAATAGCAATTTGCTATTTTTTGAAGGCTCTGATGTTTCACCCCTAGTGTCTGCCCTAGTGTCCTGCTGTGGAAGAGAATTTAACAAAAAGAAACCAGATACTATTGACTACTCAACTGCAAATAAGGGCCAACACACTAATACAAGAGGTATGGTAGGCCTTATATAAAACGTCTCCCTTTTAGTTTTCCTCACCACTGTTTTTGACTTTTTTAAAATAGCAGCAAATCAGGAGCCAACTCCCAAAGGGAAAGGAACCAATGGATCACATCTGCCTTCAACATCCTTCATAAACCATTTTTTAAAATGGTAGTGGAAGCCATATTTAATCTGGGACACATAATCTACATATGAACAAAATCACACATTTTAAATAAATTGTATTGTTCTTGAGAGTAGGAAGGGAAATTCAAATCAATTTCCCTCCATATAAGAGTTCCTCCAGTAATCCTATAGCTGTAGCATATTATGTGAAAGGAATGTTGAGGCGGAACTTCTGTACAACACATTTAGGATGAACACTTCCTTCATTTGAAATTTGCAGTGCATATATAAAGACTCTCATTGCAAACTGGTATGCTACTTTGAATATTTCCACTGAAGTTGTTCCAATAGAAGAGTGAAGCTTTTCTTCTCTTTTTGTTCCAAAAATAACAGATGCTAAACTGCTGATATTTATGCTGCCAATAAAGCTGTGAGCCAAACTAATATTTCAAGATCGTTACTGATCAAAATTCCTCTCCGCTAGTTTATTATAAATTAACAAAATAAATAAATCACTGCTGATGCTAAGCAACAATAATGAAGACACAGTTTCAAAACTTTGCGCATATTCAAAATGTAGTATTTTGAGATGTAGAATACTGCCTCCTCTCAAGCCAATTACCACCATGCTGTGAAGCAGACTTTATCCTGTGCCTATAGGACTTTTAACTAACAACTGTGGTTGAAACACCTTTTGGAAACCAACCTTTTGGAGACCACTGATAGCAACATAGCAAAGAGGAAGATCTCTTCATAGACAAGACTGCTTGTCTTTTTGCAACACTGCTGATTAAAATGGAATTTGAATCCCTGAAAATTGCTTGACCCTGCCTTAATCTTTCAAATGCATCATCAAAAAGGACAGGACATTATCTCTATCTATGCTTCCTTGCCTACTGATCTCTATTCCACAAATAGATGTCTACAACATGCTCAAAAGTAAAAAAATTCTGCAAAATCTCAAATATCCGATTCAAAATGCAGCATGCAAATTGAGTAAATATGCAAAGTAAGCAGATCTGCATAGACTATTTTCCAGCAGCATGCATGGATTTTGGCACAGGAGAACTCTACCAATTAAAAGTTAATGGGACCTTGCAGTGGTGGGAATAAAATAGAGCTTTGCATCACGTGATACGAAGTGGAAACAGCCAAGAGGAATTCTGAGTCAAAGGAAGAACAAAAGGGAATAGCAGAGGAGAGCAAAATAGGCCTGCAAAACAGGGGAGCTTTGTTCTTGATGGAGGATAATGTATTTCTCTCAGCCAAAATTATGAAAAAAATTCACCTGGGGCCTTTTCTGTCGCAGGATATAAGTTAGACCGATTCATCTACTTCACTACAAGCTACTTATGATGGCTGTGGATATCCAAAATTTCGGGTAGCAGTCTTTCTCAGCTCTACCCGGAGAGGATGGGGTCAAATCTAGACCTTCTACATATCAAGCATTTGTTCTGAGAAGCTACAAGCAATCTCTTGACTAGTCTTCCTGGAGCAGTGAGTGTGGAAGCTATAGCCCCAAAATAATCTGGGTGGCGGTGGTGGTGTCATAATTCCCATCAGCCATGACCACTGCCTATGCTGGCCTACACTGATAAGAGTTGAAGGTTCTCAACCCTGTCCTGAAGTGCCCTTAACAAGATTTTCCTCATACATGATGTTGTATGGAACTCTGTAAAGCACCAATATTGAAGATGACAGTACCGAATGGAAGATATGCTGAAGTAGATCCCCTTGCCTTTGAGCAGGGGGTGGCCTGGCATACACAGCTTTTCATCTAATGCGAAACAGCAACATTTTCAAAATGCGTTCTACCGAAGCAAATTGCCAAAACAGTCTCAGTAAGCTGTATGTTCCAAACAGTCCATGACAAACTCAGAAACAAACTGGGCTAACATCATGACTCGTAGTCATTTAAAGAAGACTGAACATATATGATAGAAATAAAACAGCAGATTGTTATGGCAAGACTAACAAATATATTATGGCATAATTATTTGTGGACAAGAACTAGAGTTCAGCACCTGATGAAGAGGACTCTAGTACATGAAACCTCATGCCATATTTGTGGTCTTGCTATAGACCATGTTGTTTCTGTATGCATACAGAGGCATGGCTATCCCTCTGGAAATGGTTCTTATGGAAGACATTCTCATATTACTTTATTTCCACAAGTTACTGGAGAAAGAAAAAGAGTAATTTCAAATTTTTGTACTCAGGAGAAGCTTTTCCCCACTCCAACAGCCACTGCCCCTACAGACTTCTAAACTGAAGTGCTTGACAATTATCACTAATCTAAGAGTGGAAGACAGATTCTGAGTAAGTCAAAATACTTTATATAAAGCTACATGAGAAATTCAACTGTGCTGATAAGTTAACATGTTCAGCTACTGAATTTAACGGAACGTGGTTTTCTGTATTTATTTCAGACTAATTCTGGAACATGATATTAACGGTAGTTTTGAAATCTCTTAAATACATACTTTTCTTTTTAGCCTGTATCTACATCTTCAAGTGGACTGATCCTTAGGCAAATGCCCTCAGTCAATTACTTTTACCTATCATAATTACATAGAGTTGTCAAAGACCACATGGAAGACTTCAAAATTCATTTGCAAACTATTAACTGAGAATGTTAAGGATCAGATATGATTGCCATCTCACCAAGCACGAGACTAGGCAGGTATGAATGATGTTTTATTGAGCCATTTCCTCTCGATGGTTTTTATCCTTCCTTATATTACTGCTTCATTGCAAAGCCTCACGGATTAGGAACAAATATGGCATTTCACCCCTCGGTCATTGTCTTGTTCTTCCCTTTAATTACAGATGATATTGATGGCTCTTAGGTTTTTCTTCAAGCCATGTTTCATGTAAAGTAGAGCTGAACTACGAGGATTGTCCTTCCCCAGGAGATGGAGCAAAAATGCTATATGGTCTGAAGTTCAAGAAGCATCAGGCGGGTGATGGTTTGTGAACAGAAGAGCCCTGCAAGTTCAGACCAAAGGCCTGCTTGGTCTAGCCCAGAGTGGCCAACCAGGTGCTTCTGGGAAGCCTGCAAGCAGGACATGAGTGAAACAGCAAATGGAATTCAGAATCCTACTCTGATATTGGAGGTAGAATACAGTGATCAAGACCGTGGTGGCAGCTTCACCCAATGGTCTATCGCGAGCAAAACCGCCACCGCTCCTGAGTCCCTCTGCAGTGCTGCTATAATAATAATAATAATAATAATAATAATAATAATAATAATAATAATAAATTTGTACCCCGCCCATCTGGCTGGGTTTCCCCAGCCACTCTGGGCGGCTTCCAACAAAGATGAAAAATACACTAAAATGTCACATATTAAAAACTTCCCTGAACAGGGCTGCCTTCAGATGTATTCTGAATGTCAGGTAGTTGTTTATCGCTTTGACATCTGATGGGAGAGCATTCCACAGGGCGGGCGCCACTACCGAGAAGGCCCTCTGCCTGGTTCCCTGTAGCTTTGCTTCTCGCAATGAGGGAACCGCCAGAAGGCCCTTGGTGCTGGACCTCAGTGGCAGAACGATGGGGGAGGAGACGCTCCTTCAGATATACTGGACCAAAGCCGTTTAGGGCTTTAAAGGCCAGCACCAACACTTTGAATTGTGCTCGGAAAGGTACTGGGAGCCAATGTAGGTCTTTCAAGACCGGTGTTATATGGTCTCAGCGGCCGCTCCCAGTCACCAGTCTAGCTGCCGCATTCTGGATTAGTTGTAGTTTCCGGGTCACCTTCAAAGGTAGCCCCACGTAGAGCGCATTGCAGTAGTCCAAGCTATAAGATTGCTGTTTAAAAAAGACTCATTTTGCCCAGAAAATCAATACAGATTCTGTCACCTTGACATCATACTTATACCTCTGAGCAATTAAACAAGTGGCTTAGTACTTCATTGCAGAATATGCACGTGAAAGGAAGATGTCCAAGATAGACAGGAAAGTACCAATTTTCTCTAGGAAATATTTAAAATGAGTAATTCTTGTCAATGCATGGTGTTTATTAAAACATGTTTTACAAAAAGGCACCGAGGCAAGCTAATGAGTTGCATTTTTAAAGCCTGAGTAACTGTGAAGAATGAATCATACTGTACCTCACTAACTGGCTGTCCTTGCTGAGTCAAATCTAGTTCTTGAGGTCTTGTCACTTTATCAATGTCCAAGGAGTCCATACTGGAGGCTGCAGATGTGACGCTGGAACGGGAGGAATTGCTGATAGAACGGACTTCAGCATCACTCACAGTACCTGCTGAGGCTGTCCTCCTATGCTGGGTGGCAACTATAGGCTTGCTATCTTCCATTATAGGTTGCTGTGCCGCTTCATCCATACTCAGAGATGCCTTCTCTAATTGTGCCGTAATGTCATCCAGGGAGAAGATAGCATGTGAAGGCTTTGTCACCCGGCTAGATGACGAAGAGGACAATCCTTTCATACTACTGTGTTTAGCAGCAAGTCGTCCGCCGCCAGATGGTTTCTGAGCCATTTTTCCTTCTGTGGCAAAGCGTTTCATTGACATGCTGTTTGCAGACTGTGACCCGATGCTGCTGAGCTCCTGCTCAATGGAACAAAGGTCTGCCATGAGCGCATCAAGATCCACGGTTTCTCCCTGATTCAAGGCTTCTGCAATGAATGACAAAAATATGATCCAGATTCTATCACAATACTCTGTTAAACATTCCACTGTTCTGATATCTACCGTATTTTTCGCCCTATAGGACGCACCGTCCCATAAGGCGCACCTAGTTTTTTTGGGGGGAAATAAAGGGAAAAATTTTTATTCCCCCCCCCAGGCGCGGGGCTGGGGCGGGGGAAGACCCCAGCCCCCAGAACAGGCAACTCTCCGCAAGCCGTGGGAGCCTGGCGCAGGGCTGCCGCGCCTTGCGGAGAGCTGCGCGAAGTCTGGGCGCGCTGAGCTCAGCACCCAGCCTTCGGCATGCGCACCGACCCCTCTCGCTCTCCAGGCTTCAGCAAAAGCCTGCATTCGCCCCATAGGACGCACACACATTTCCCCTTCATTTTTGGAGGGGGGAAAGTGCGTCCTATGGGGCGAAAAATACGGTAATTTATTTGGTCAGTCTACAGCAGGAATTTTCAATTTTTCTCCCCTTTCCAGATTGACTTATTTAAATAAAATGACATATGTATGTATGTATGTATGTATGTATGTATGTATGTATAGAAACTGGATGTCTGCACTGTGTTCTAGGGGCATGTTTGAGGGCAGGAATAGTCAATATGGTGCACTTCAGAAGTTGTGGACAACTTCCACTGACCTTATTGGCCATGTGCATAGGCTCTGGAGGACCTCAGTTCCAGAGTGTAAACATAGGGAAGTAGCAGGGTATTTGACTCTCACTATTGGCTCCCTTAAACAGAGTGTGCCCTAGAACACATTCAATTTTACCACCAACTTGCCCTACATTGAAACTGTTATATTGTTTACTGCGGTTTTAAAATATAATTAATGTTTCCTGTAAGCTGCCTTGGGAGGATTTACAGCTTAAAAGCAGCACAAATTGCAATAAACGCATTTAAATCGTTAAAACGTAAGAGAAAAGTAGTACATGACAGGTGTAATTCAAAATTATATTTAGATTTACATCTTACTAGGTTTCAGCTAATGTACCATTTTGTTGTCCTAGTTACTCTCATTATAGTGACATTACAATTTGCATTTTATAAATTTTGCAACAGGGTTTGGACCGTAGAGTCAGCATTTCTTAAGAAAACAATCAATTCTAAGGCCCATCTAGTTTGGCATCCTGTTCTCACAGTGGACAATCGGGTGCCTATAGAAAGCTCAAAAGTAGAACCTGAGCAATACAGCACTTTCCACATCTGCAATTCAAAGGTATATTGCCGTCAACAATGGAGGCAGAAAATAGCCATCATGGTTAGTAGTCACTGATAGCCTTTTCCTTCAGAAATTTGTCTAATCATCTTCCAAAGCCATCCAATTTGGCGTCCATCAATTTTTCCAGAGTTTAACTGTGTGGTGTGTAAGGAAGCCCTTTCTTCTGTTTGTCCTGAATCTTCCAACATTCAGCTTTACTGGAATGTTTAACAAGTTCATCCATTCCAAGTCCAACACTTCATTCAATAGTAAGATTCTTGGGGGGGGGGGGAGGAGCCAAATGGATTTTGTGCCCACTAAAAGTCACGTTAAGTGTCCTTTACAAACAGGTCTCATTCTGATACACACAATGTTTTCTGTTATTAGAAGAATTCTAAGTTTTAAGCATTTCCCCACCTCCTCCAGCTGAAAATGATTTGATAATGCATCTTACCATTTAAATTGTACATTGAAAAGCGATAGGAGAAGTTGGCAATATTAGTCTCCTGGCGAAGAGGGGATCTTTTCACTGGCTCCATGGGCTTATCTGTATCCAGACTCTAAGTAAAACAAATTGGAGGCAGAATAAGCTACAACAGTGTAAAACATAAATCAGCATATTCAAACATGGGCAAATATATTGCTTTTGTATCGGTGCTATTTTAAAATCTTGTTTCCCCGCCTTACATATGTTCAACAGAAAAAAAGCTACCAACATTTGATGGCACTAAGATCTACTCCATAGTATTTGCCCAATACACAACTGTTTGTGTGCCTTAACTATTTCAGTTTTACGTGGCAATATAAGACATTTTAGCCTGTATAGTGTTCATATAACAGTTTGAAAACAGGTGCATTTGTTGCCAGTCTGTTTCTGGGCATAAGTGAAGGTTTAAACTAATGTTTAAAACTATAGCAAACTTAGTCCTCAAATATCTGAGAGACCACCTCTGCTTAAGAGCAGCAGGGGGCACCCCCTTGATAGTTCCACTGCCCTATGAAGCCTGAGGTGTTGGTGACTTGGGACAGGGCATTCTCTGTGTCAGCCCCTACATTGTGGCATTCCCTACCCACCAAGGTGCACACGACACCTACACTGTACAGTTTTTGTTGCTCAACTCTTTACCCTGGCCTTTGACACATGAAGTGTATATTTTCAGGACCCACCCTATTCTTGTGAGTGTAACCAAACTAGTTTCAAAGTTGTATTTTACATTGCTGTGACCCACCGTGGGACCTTAGGGGGACGACTGGGTATTAAATCCAATAAATAGCAGAAAATGAGGAGCATACAAAAAGACAACTAAAATAATGCTTAAAACTAAATTTAAGTTGTTGGGTTTTTTTAATTGGAATTTATGCATAGAAACACTAATCAGCCTGACTAGTGTTGTTATTTTGCTGAGTTGGTAGTGCCGAGATTTTGTTTTTCTCCATCGTCCATGCCATCTAAAATCGGAATGTCTGCAATTGCTGTATGTAATGATAGCTTTAGCAGAACCCAAGATTTGTAAGCATGCAAACATGCTTATAATTTTACAAGTGCATCATTAGTTTTGGGCAGCTGTCATACATCAAATGTCTATATTCCATGTCCATGCAACTTATTATTATTTATCAGAAGCAAGCAAGGAACTTTGTTATTTTCTAATATCACAGATTTCCTAAACAAATCTAAACTTTTCAAACTCATAATCCTACCATCTTCTGCATCAAGTCCTTAGTCATATGGCAATAAGGTAAAGGTAAAGGACCCCTGGACAGTTAAGTCCAGTCAAAGGTGACTATGGGTCACCTCGCTTTCAGGCCGTGAGAGCCGGCGTTTGTCCGCAGACAGCTTTCCGGGTCATGAAGCCAGCATGACTAAACCGCTTCTGGTACAACGGAACACAGTGACAGAAACCAAAGTGCATGGAAACGCCATTTACCTTCCCACCACAGCGGTACCTATTTACCTACTTGCACTAGTGTGCTTTCGAACTCCTAGGTTGGCAGGAGCTGGGACAGAGAAACAGGAGCTCACCCTGCTGCATGGATTTGAACCGCCAACCTTCTGATCGGCAAGCCCAAGAGGCTCAGTGGTTTAGACCACAGCAATATTACTGCATTATACAGCAAAATGTGGCTGTGCATCTGACAGGTCAATAGACAGCTCTGCTACCTGTCAGCGAGGAACTATTATCACATTACAAATGCTACCCGTTCCCTGCTGATATGGCTCATACAGTCAACGACCAATCTACTTTACTCTATAAATACTGATCTCCTTCACTGTGGAATGAGGAGAGTGGTATAAAGTTGACTTTAACCTGTGTGAGTTTGTCTAACTCCCCAAGCCAAGCTCCAAACATCTTGTCCAGATCCTGATCTTCTTTATCGCTATCTTCTTCCGCGCCATGATCAAGTTCTTCATCTGATAGCTGTTCCATCTAAAAAAGACAAAAAAGCAGCATTTTAAAGGTGAACGCTTTGTATGTTTTGAAGATTATATGACGTTATTTCAGAACACACTTATGCTCAACAACCTTCCTAATGTTTCCTTATAAGTGGATGACCACAACGATCAGTTATGTTTAAAATATTAGAGGGTCACTAAAAAACTGGTAAAAAAATTCCACAGCTGTTATTGCGAAACATTTTCTTTCCATAAAAAATACAACCTCCCCCCTGTTTGCTACACCCAAGTAACAAAGAGAAGCAGTTCACTTTGAAAATTCAGCACATGATAACTTAATTCCAGAAAGGGGGCTTTTGCTTCACAGCCTGACGCTTTGGACATATTCAAACGATCACAAACTAAAGCACTTATTTCCTCTCACGTCCCTAAACAGACGTCTTCCTGGTTTCATCAAACCAGTTTGTCATGACATCTGAACCACCAAACTGTGGTTTGAGTGATGTCTCCAAACCAGAATCAAGTCACTCAAGGTCTCTTTGAATTATGTTTGGAGGATCACAAATGTGATTTTGAATGAACCCAGTATGCCTGCCAATCTTGCTGTCTCTTCAGTTCTTGCTCAGTTGAAAATATGGCTACAGTTTTTTGGGTTTTTTAAAATTACTGCTCAAGGGTTTAGAAATTTAAATTGTTTCATCGATGTAACCCACGTATGAAGAGATTACTGTATTATGCTGCCTCCCTTATAAACTCTGCTCTCCTACAAATAATCCTGCTCATCACAAGATCTTGTGCAACAAAAAATTGATTAAAACACTGGCCATTGCTTTAGAGTGCAAATAGTTTTGTTTTCATATAAAATATCAATCAGTATTATGAGAAAAGCACACTGAAGTTGAGAATAAAGCCTTTAGCAGCCGAACAGCACAGTGGTAATATCCGTCTATCAAGAATCAACCAAATGCACTGACCCAGGTAGAGAAGACAGCCGATAGCAAAGCTTTCCATCACAAAGTGTTTGGGTTTTTTTAATAAAAAAAAAGTGTAAAAAGGTTCCTGTATTTGACTTTGAAGCAAATGGCATAATGGTAGCTTTCCAACAGAGTTCGTTATAATAGGACCACACTTGTTTGTCCTCTTTTCAGGAGAAAGAAGCAACAGCTTTCTACTGGAGGATTGGGAAGTCATTGTTTCAAAACCACTCTTTCATAATAGGAAAAAAAAAACCCATTAAGATCCTCAGCATGCATCTAGCTGACATTTCTTGTGAGTCAGTGCCAGCAACCATTTTTGCACTGGAAAAGTCCAGGGAATTCAAGCTGACCACAAGTTGTGCAATATCACTCAATAAGAAATGCACTCTCCTAAATAGCAGAATATACTTCTGCTCATAGAAATCCTGCTTATATAGGCCACAGAGAATGCCTGGAAGACATCCTGTCACAGAGTTTAAATATTAGAAACTGTCCAGACTCCTCGAGTCATATATCCTCTATGATCTCTACACAAAATAAAGGAACAGAACCAGCTATAACTGAATGATTTTTATTTTTTTTACCATCTGCTTTCAATAAAGATTTTAACTGAATTATGGTGACTATCCAACAGGAAGGACAGTTATTTTATCATAAGACACAGAGTAGAATAAAAAGTTGGCAGATAAGCTAGATATACACATATCCTAGAAACACTGACCATGTTAATATGGCGAGAACTCAAGAGAAAAGGACTACAAGACACACACACACTGCAACACAAATGACAGCAGACTTGACAGAGCACTAAAAAGGAAAAACACAGCCATTTGGGCAACCATGGCCTCGTTCACATATAACTGTAAGTCAGAGTTAAATAAACTATGTCTTGCTGGGAACAAGCAAGCATGCTGGTCCACACTGCTCAAATTGCTTCCATCCCCTCCTCTTGCCATGCTGGGTGGAACAAACCATTAACACTACATGGGAAATAGCATTTGTAGTTCCCTTCACTGACACAACTCAACAATTAACCATGGTTTTTTTTTCAGATCCCACTTTTTGATTAAGATAGTGTGTATCAGAAAGAAATGAAAGTAGTTGGTTGGTGCATAATGTAGACAGGAAGGGTTGGATAAGCAGCAAGGATTCATGTTTCCTCTCTAGTCCACTCTATGGTGTCCTCCCAGACTACCCCATCACGAAGTTGTGAAGTGATAAAGTCCGATAAGAACAGTATTGGGCAATTTATTTTACTGAAAAATCATAATCTTAGCATCACCTCAAACAAAAGTGGTCATAATAAAGATATCAAAATCCATATTGGGCAATACCCTTATTAAGGTAAAGGTAAAGGTACCCCTGCCCGTACGGGCCAGTCGTGTCCGACTCTAGGGTTGTGCGCCCATCTCACTCTAGAGGCCGGGAGCCAGCGCTGTCCGGAGACACTTCTGGGTCACGTGGCCAGCATGACAAAGCTGCATCTGGCGAGCCAGCGCAGCACACGGAAACGCCGTTTACCTTCCCGCCAGTAAGCGGTCCCTATTTATCTACTTGCACCCGGGGGTGCTTTCGAACTGCTAGGTTGGCAGGCGCTGGGACCGAGCAATGGGAGCGCACCCCACCGCGGGGATTCGAACCGCCGACCTTTCGATCGGCAAGCCCTAGGCGCTGAGGCTTTTACCCACAGCGCCACCCGCGTCCCTAATACCCTTATTAGGCCAACCCAAACGCTGCAAAGCAACATGAAAACTTTCTTCAAGCCCAATGTCAAACAGTGGGTGGGTGGGGTGGGTGAGCAGGCAGAACCGAGGTGGCTCATGGTGAAGTCACAGAGTCTGCATCTGGTCACAGCCTCAAGGCTGAATGTGAGAAGAGGTGGCAGACATTCACATGAGGCTTTGTTGGCTACTATGCAGACTGTATCAATTGCTACTAGGAAGATGGAATATGAAATGTCGGACCCACATTTTGGGGAAGATAAAATGCTTTTATATTCCAAAAATAGGGGACAATATTCTGGTTGGCTGAAATGAAAATACTGTCCTCATACGGCTTTTGAAATTATCTCAGTATGTTTCTGAATTTATTTCTATTCTTCTAATTTGTGGTTTTAATCTTTAGTATTAAGGCAACTTCCAATGCACTTAACTGGAAGTACAGCCATACCTTGGAAGTCGAACGGAATCCATTCTGGAAGTCCGTTTGACTTCCAAAACATTCGGAAACCAAAACGTGGCTTCTGATTGGCTGCAGGAAGTTCCTGCAGCCACTAGGAAGCTGCGGAAACCCCGTCGGACATTTGGCTTCCAAAAATAGATCGCAAACCAGAACAGTCACTTCTGGGTTTGCGGCATTCAGTAGCCAAAACATTTGAGAACTAAGCTGTTCAAAAACCAAGGTACGACTGTACCCAAACAAAATTGTTCTTGGGTGCTTCAGATCTTAGAGCATGTTTTAAAAAGAGGTAATCTGACAAAATAATAGGGAATGTCAAAACTAGTTCTATTAGACATATTAAATAAACAGATTTGGAAATCTAGACACATCTGATTTGTAAAAATGTGTGTACTTTCTCATCTTATAAATCTTATAAATTCAATGTCAACATTCACAGCTAACCTGAAACACTGTTGAATTGACTTCAAGAACTAGTTCTTTCCTTGGAAACTGAAGATTGCATTGTATTACATTAAAGCATAGAGCAAGTTTACTTTGACTCACTTGAATTTAGCCTTCATTCAGGTCTGCCCAATTTAAAGTAACAGTCAGTACATTCTCTTTCTATGATGAGAAAGTTTAGAAATAACATCAACCGATTTCAGGAAATTTGAAAGGACCAATTACTCTGCAGATTTGTAGGTGAACAGATAACCTCAAAACTGCTAAAATGGTTAGCAGAAAGACCAGAAAGAAGCACATCTAAAGACTGTACAGTTAAAAAAAATGCACACAGTAAAATCTTTATTCATCCCTACATCTTCCAAATCCTAATGTAACTGCTTGCCAAACTGATGAAAAGGAATAATTTAATTCTTTATTTCCTGGACAAGGACACCAGCCACATAATCCAAGGAATTGTTAGACCAGCAACAATTACTCTAATAGTATGCTGGCATGGAATTTTAAAAAAAATCTTAATGCATTTGAATTGCAGTTCTTCCTAGAGCAACACTAGTAACACTCCTCTATAAATTGATATTTTACAAGCCTCCTGCTACCACAGCGCTATTTCTGGTGCATAAAAGAGGAAGTTGAGGAAGGATGTGTTTGTAGTGAGCATTTCATTTTGTTTGAAGCAAGAGACAGCTGCTCTCTTGTCAGAAGAGTCTGATTATTGTCTTGTGGGAAAGATTCCTACAGCCAAGCGAGTAGTTTCTTCTTCTTAATTAGTAGTGTCGTGTTCATGAAAGGGAACACACTGCACCCAAAATTTAGATAATAGTCAAGTTAATATTGGCAATCCAGCTTATAATGTTTAGTGATGAATATCACTGCTGTACAGATTTCCTCAAAGGAAACATTACTAAATAAGCCCTTTGTTCTCGCTTTCGGGAGCATTTAGACAAGATTTAAAATCTGGAGCGGGCAAACACACTGCTACCACTGACAAGCTGTGGCGCTAACAACACCTAGCCACCTGTCCAAGCTCCATTTCCCTGAAGGTCAGGGATTCACAAATACAGTTGTCAGAGGTGGCCATAAACTTAATTCTGAAAACCAGCAAGGACACGGCATCTAGTACACTGCACAAGAATAATAATAATAATAATAATAATAATAATAATAATAATAATACAGTGGTACTTTGGGTTACATACGCTTCAGGTTACAGACTCCACTAACCCAGAAATATTACCTTGGGTTAAGAACTTTGCTTCAGGATGAGAACAGAAATTGTGCTCCGGCGGCGCGGCACCAGCAGGAGGCCCCAATAGCTAAAGTGGTGCTTCAGGTTAAGAACAGTTTCAGGTTAAGAACGGACCTCCGGAACGAATTAAATACTTAACCTGAGGTACCACTGTACATTTTTGAAACCTGCTAGCAACACAAGGAGAAGACGGTACCTCTTTCAAAATGGTG